AGTATATGGTTGACTTCAACATTATTTCTTTTTGAAAATAATAGTGTAGGAGCTCCAGTGGTGGAGTTGGTTAGCGTGCGGTACTTATATGAAAATAATAGTGTATATGGACCAGCATTTAAAAACTACAAGCTGCAAATCATCAATTGGCAATGACATGGTCACTAGGGTTGTGCTTACCAGTCATTCAGGGACACACTTTGACTGTGTTCTCAGCAAGTCTGAGACAGGGCAGCCTCTCCCAAGTTCCCTCCTCATCTGAACAGAGACAGGGCAGATCACGAGTCAGGCCTGAGTTCCCAGAAGGAGGGATGTTCCCTTGCAGCTTTGCCAGTACAGGCAAGCTGTAACGGCTGTCTGGGAAACAAAGAAAGTGCTTTCAGAAAGGAAGGACTTAGTTAAGGAACGAATGCCCCTCAGGTTGTAGGGATAAAGCCATTCCTTTCCCCATAAGGAAGCAGCTCATTCCAATATGTGTGTTGGATGACTGTATATATCAAGTAGTGAGCCAGACACCTAAGACACCAAATTCTCTCCCCCATTTGCATACGGGGAGAATATGCTGAATGTTGTACACTCTAGAATGGGGGCAGTGGTGGCAACACACCAGGAAAGAATGCTCAAGTTCCTTATGTAATATGGCATAGCGTTTGCATGTAATGTAAACATATCCTTCTGTGTACTTTAAATCATCTCCACGTTACTTATAATACCTAATATTATGCATATGCTATGTAAATAGTTCTGTTTAAGAAATAATGACAGGAAAAAGTCTGTATATGTTCAGTAAAGACATACTTTTTTAAAAAATATATTTGATCTGTGTTTGGTTGGATTTGTAAATTGGAACCTGTGGATACAGAGGGCTGACTGTAGTACAACAATTTTTTTTTTTTTTTTTGCCAAATGTTCTCAGCAACAAAGAAAAATTCATTTCTTGAAGCCCCATTCTTATGAGGACATGATACCTGATTCCCTGTAAAATCAAGGTATCTACTTTCTTCCTTCATCCTCTTAGCCTTATTTATCAAGTAATTCCTATTTTAATACCAACCAATAAAACACATTCTAAGTTGTAATGCATTTTCTCAGACGATTACAAAATTTTCCTCTTCTCACCTTAATTCTTTCCCTCTTTCCTTTCTTCCCAAACATCAATAACAATATTAGTAATAAAGCTAAGACATATATTAGTATACAAATATATAAAATGTTACCACATTAGCAGGTACTGTTGCTGTTTACATATTGCGTTATTAACATATATCATAGTTTAAGTAAACTCACAAATTCTCATAACAATCCAACAAGGAAGGTGATAGTATTACCTGTTTCACAATTGGAGAAATGGGGTCAGAGAGGTTGAGATCATACAGCTTACAAGAAGTAGAAGAAAAATTTGTCTTCAGCAGTCCTAGGCAGTTTGGCTCTGAGTCTAGCCCCGATTTTGCACCACTCCTCCAAATGTGGGGTCCCCATGACCAGACCTATTCATTCCTTCCTACTTTCTGGCATCACAACTCTCAAAGAGCTTGTCCTTCCTCACCCATTAAAATACCATCTTTTTGTCAGCAACTCCAAAATATACATATTCAGTCATAACCTTCAGTTTCACTCCAGTTCCATGTCACCAATGGCCACTGCAAATTCCCATTGCATTAGATCTTAGTGACTAAATTTGAGAACCCAGAATCAACCCTGAATTCTCTGAGTTCTTCACCCCTATAACCTCTTAAATACCCTTTAGGGGCTTCTCATCCCCGTCCCTAACCACATCACCACAGTAAAGCAACAGGCACTGGATGGGGCTGGGACTCTTGTAATGAAAGAGTTAATGCTGGTGTATTGTATCCTGACTTACAAGAGTGGTGTTTACAGCAGCACTATTCACAACAGCCACCCTATGGAATCAGCCTAAGTGTCCTTCAACAGATGAAAGGATAAAGAAAGTGTAGTATTTATACACACTGGGGTATTATTCAGTCATACAGAAGAATGAAATTTTGTTTTCAGGAAAATGAATGGAACCAGAGAACATCATATTATGTGAAATGAGCAAGGTTCAGAAAGACATATAGTGCATATTCTCTCTCATGGATGGAAACTAGACCTAAAAATACATACCTAGATATATATAACATAAATGTAAATGTGGAACTCTTTGGGGAGACAACCAGGAGGGGGAGGGGAATGAGAACGATGTGGGGTGAATAATATCAAAGTACATCGTGTCTATGTATGAAGCTGGCATAGTGAAATCTACCAAAAACTGCTTAAAGATAGAGGGTGGGGGGAAAAAGGAGCAATGGAAGGAGTTACCCTGATCAAGGTGCAACATATGCCTGTATGGAAAGTCTACAATGAAACCCCATTTTTACAATTAACATACACTAATAAACATTTTTTAAAGAGTTAATGTGGCCACTGGGGAACCTTCTCCTCTCATCTCCCTGGAGTATTCACTAAGCTTTGGCCAGGTGGTTGGTCAACCCCATGGAAGCCACAGTGAGTGCCCTCCGGAGTGTGAAGCTGATGCCCAATTAACCCACGACTCCAGTGCTGCCTCTATTTTATTTAGCTTCCTTCTTTTCCAACTGACTGCTGATTTTTTTTATTGCCACAACATGCAGTCACTATGGTTTCAGACATCAACAAAACGCATAAGTCCCAATTGCTGTAGGAGGTCCCCAACTGGCTCCAAGATTCCTTTGCTTACTGTGGAGGCTCAAGAATCGACAATAGGTGTCCTCTTTCAGTGCCAAAACCTGCCAGAGAAACCCACCACAGCTTCTCAGTACATTCTGAAACCATTATGGGGTCACCTGTCAGGATTGCAGGGGTCCCCTACCCACATCAGCAGACTCCCTGGGATTTCTCCTGCTGTTAGCATTACTTTAATCAACTTGCCAGCATTGTGCTTGTTGAAAAATTTGTGATAAAGATTCCATTGAAATGTAGCCAAGCTGACTTTAGAAAGCCTTCCATGCTCTTATTAGATAGCTTCTTCCTGGTTTGGGTGGTAATATGAACTCTTAAGTGGGCAGTTCATGATGCTGCAATAGAATACTGAATGAAGCAAAAAGTGCTCACAATATATTAAACTTTAAAAGAAAATTGCAAAGGATGAGTAAATATGACATCATTTGAAAATTAATTCTGAAATTAATTTTGCATCGAAGCAAAAATGTTTTCGATGGTTTTCTGAGGGTAGGGATTATGAATGGCTTTAATTTTTGTTATGTTCCTCATTGTTTCTCAAGTTTTCTGCAGTAATTGTATATTGCAATCAGATTTTTAAAACAAATACTCTTAAGAAGAAAGACTATTCCGAGTGGCTCTAGAACACCTGCTTATCAAATATGAGACTCTGAATTCAAACTCCAGTACCTCTAAAAAATAAAAATAAAAAGGTTCTCCAAAAGAAAGACTATTATAAAAACAAGTGGGTGGTTCCAGTCAAAGGAAACTTTGAGCTTCCAGTATGTTTTAGTATTTTGGGCAGAGAATTATTGTGTTGGGTGAGTCTCTTTAATACTGTGGGTTTATTTGGTCATCTGCTAAGTGAGGGGTTGAACTAATACCTCCAAAGCACTTTCTCATGCTAAAGTCCTATGGTCCACAACCTGGAAAATCTAAAGCTGCAAAGGATGTATGTCACCCCCCAGGGCAGGCACCAGACTTAGAATCCATGTATTTGCAATATGACCATTCTGTGTCTTAGTTTTGGTTTTGCAAGGATTTTTTTTTTCATTTAAATGAAAAGTTTGGATATAAAAACCTCACAGGCCTCTGTCCTCCAGCTCTGACATTCTGTGGTTCTGGGAATGAGACCATGACTCAGACATGACTTTGGAACTGTTTGTAGTTTAAGGTGCCTGGTCTATTAGAGATGTGGTCTGTGCTCGTGAACATCAGAGAACCAACAGAAGATGCTGAGGCTTTATGTCATTAAAAAATTCATGTTTGAAAATCCTGTTTCTCACGATCTTTAAGCAGGGCAAAGACAAACACAAGTACATATCTGACCTGGAAAGCTGCCTGTCCTCCATGAAGATTACAGACTTCAGGGGCTACGAATTCTATAGTCTTAAGGTATCTCATGGATTGTTTGGTATGTGAAATACCTTTGACTTATTCTTTTTTTTCTATTTTTTGTCATTAAGTTGGTAGATTATTGCCTTGTTCATAATAACACCATAATAGCCAGGTACAGGGGAAGATCCCAAGCCTGGGGAAAGTTATTTTATCAAAAAAGGGTGATGGATATGAAAGCACCTTGTAGACCATGGAGCCATATAGAAATGTAGGTGCCAAATAATGACATTTCAGGCAGTAACACACCACATCTATGGTGATATCATACGATGACATTGCCTAGTGACATCCTAGCCATTTTAGTTTATGTAAGTACATACAGTGATATTCTCACAACAAGAAATCAGCTAACAGTGACTATCTCAGACATATCCCTATCCTTAGGGGACAAATGACTTCAATTGTTACTATTATTCAACTCTCTGAGCCTCGATTCCTCATTTGAAAAGCAAGTTGTTTTGGATAAGACAATTTCTAAAGGTCTCTTTAAGTTCTAAAACTCTCCTATTGTGATTCTTGAGTAGTTGATTTCAACAAGCTTTTGCCAGTGGAACTTGGAATCGGACTTCCCAGTTCTAGCTTTGGGTCTTAAAAGAAACTGAAATGGACTCACGAAATTGTCAAGCATAATTCCAAACAACATCAATTTGAGTTTCTTTTATGTTACACTCACAAGCTTTGGATAAGGAGGGGCCAGCATTCCTGAGTCACAGGGAGAAGCTATGGCTTGGGTAGCTAGAGGAGTCACTACCAGTTGGGACAGGGCACCTGCAGAAGGACTTCTGCCATACTATGGCCAAAGCAAATAGCAGACAGGTCAACCTGCAGAGGTGGAAATGCTCTGTTCTCTCTTTTCTCCCCATGTACAGGATAAGAACTGGAGTGAAGTCATGGAAACACATCAAAAACTTCCTACTAATCAGTTAGACTTGAGAAAGCAGCAAGAGGCTGTGTGGGAACTTTTCACAAGTGAATGCACTTATTTCTTGGACCATTTGTTAGTTCTTAAGATGGTAATGCTGGTTTTCATTTTTCTACTGAATGGGAAATATTCAGTTCTTTGGTGTCTTGTTTTTCTCTCCATGCTAAAAAAGGAAAGGAGATTTTCTCCCCTTTCAGTGGCTCTTGAAGAAAGTTTTATTTATTATTTATTTTTATCAAGCTACTACTTAGTTATCTCTTCATTCTTGGCTTAAACATAATCTCTCAGGATTGGATGAGATCCTCCAATTATAGAATACTGCCTCAGCTTTCTGCCTGCTATGTGATTCCCTTCTGCTTCATTCTTGCCTGTTGGGTGAGGGCTCACAGCCACGCTCAGGGCAGCCCAGCCCATTTTCCATGGGCTTCCTCTCCTGGAGCTCTTGCTCCCACAGGGACAGTACCAGGTGAATGCTTTATACCAGCTGCAGGGCCACAGGTACTATTTCTGGGGCTACATCCACAAGTATGCATGATCTCCTCTTCAGTGGTTGTACGTGCTGCAGCCCTGACCTGGGGAGGCTTAGAGCACAGCATTCCTTATAGAAGAACCATAGAACAAGAGAGGGAGGACAGTGGCTTCCTTCTAAGCCTATAGGGTAGGATGAACTAGATGGCTCCTTACATTGTCTTTGCCCTAGTATTGAATCCTGGGTAACAAGCATTGTTTTGGAGACCCAAGTTCAAGCTCTGGATCTGCCTCTGACTTGCATGTGACCATAGAAAAGTCTAGCCCTCCATATTCTGTATGAGGGGGTTGGCAAACATTTCTGTAAAGGTCCATGTCTTAGGCCTGTAACAGAGGCCTTCAGACTGGATAATTTGTAAATAAAAGAAACTTATTTGACTCATGGTTCTGGAGGCTAGGAAGTCCACAGTGGCGGGGTTGCAGCTAGTAAGGGCCTTTTGTTGTGTCATTACCTGGCAGAAGGCATCATATGGTGACAGAGATCAGAAAGGGAGCAAGAGAAAGCAGAACTTGTTTTCATAAAAAGCCCGCTTTGGAGATTATGAGCCTACTCCTGTGTTATGACATTAATCCATTCATGAGAGTACAGCCTAATCAGCTCTCTTTAGACCTCACTTCCTGACACTGTAGCATTGAACACATGAATTTTTGGGGACACATTTCACCTACAGCAATCCAGATAGTAAATAATGTAGACTTTGCAGACCATATGATCTTTGTTGCAGCTACTCGACTCTATCACTGCCATATTAAAAACAGTCATAGATAATATACAAAGGAATGTGTGTGACTGTGTCACAATAAAACAGGTGGCAGCACAGATTTATAGCCTACAGGCTATAGTTTGACAATCCCTGTACTAAGCTATAAAAAGGAAATGAAAATATCATCTCTGGCTATTCATTAGATCACTGTGATGCTGAAATTAGTTTTCTTTGAACTATATTAAGTGCTATGCAAGTGTCAGTTATTTTCTATAAGTAAGATTTATTGTCAGTCACCACACTAAGTACCTTACTTAGCAAAATTTAAACCACAAAGACTCCATGAGAAAGCTGAAATTTAGAGTCTGTATCTCTGAGGATACTTCAAAGAGCAAGTAACAGAGAAGTAGCTTAAGCAACTCAGGATCTGACTGGCCCATGTGACTATAAGTCCCAAAGTGGGAAAGAATTAAGAAGTTTATTGAACCATGGGCTCAAAACCAAGGTCAAAATTTCTTTCCACCTTTCATTCCTGCCTTCCATAGTGTTAGCTCTTCTTATGAGCAGCTTCTCTTATAGTCATGAAATAGCTGTTGTCCTTGAGCTAAGGGAGGTAAGGGGATACAACAGAGAATGAGAGAGAGAGAGAGAGAGAGAGAGAGAGAGTGCGCTCTGATCAGGTTAGCAAGTCTTGGGATTCAGTCCACCCCTGAATCAATCACTTGATTTAAGTCAATACTAATTGACTTAAGACACTCAAGGCCCACCCCTAGGATCAAGGTCAGCTGCCACATGGCACTTGTGCAGCCTGGTGAGGAAAGGATACTAAGCTGGAAACCAGGATGCTGTTAGGGAAGGGCAGCACTAGAGCTGGGAGGTCACAAGCAGAGCACTAATAATCACTGGACCGCACTCACTACAGAGCTTTACTATTTCCTCCCTTGCCCCAATGAGCACCATAGAATGTTCTACCCCACTTGTAAGCTACCCAAGCCTCTCAAACTGGCACCTTCTGTTTAAGAAAAGGACAAATTGAATTTATTTTCAAATATCCCCATGTATTTAAGTGTAAATGTACTTCCCTTTACATAATCAATATGAGTTTCCCAGAGCTGCTTGTGCATTGAAAATCTGGTAACTCAAATAGTAAGATAACTATATTTGAGGACTCCGTATTCTTTTAAAATGGCAAAAATTTATGTAAAACAATGGATCACAAAAAGAATATTTCTTCTAAATTGTCCCAGTAGAACTGTAATAATGAATTCTGGGTTTTTGTCTTTGTTTTGTGGTTTTGTTGTTTACAACTATCTGTTTTAAATGCTTGGCTACTGACAGATTTCCAGACCACCAATACAGTGTGGATGTGGGAAGCTCTAAGTCAGTGTCTCTCAACATGTGGTCTTTTGACCATCTGCATCAGAATCACTAGGGAACTTGTTAGTCGCACATCCTCAGACCCCATCACAGACAGACTGAATGAGAAACTCTCAGGCAGGGTCCAACAAGCACTGGTTTAACAAGGCCTCCAGGTGATTCTGATGCACGTTCAAGAACCACTCTGCACTAATTACCTAGTGCAGGCATGGGAGTTGGAGAAGACTGACTATTTGAGGCCAATCTTTTCACAACTAAAATTCTTAAAATTATTAGTCCCTTTGTCACTTTGAATGCTTCCCGTCTTATATAAACCAAGTATTCCTCCATCAATTGTTCTCTTTGGTTTATCGAAGGAGGAGCAGGTTATCTGAAATGATTGTAGTTCTTATTTCTTGACTTGCTGTGTAGCTCCCCTGATGTGTGAGAGCATCAAATCAAGTAATAATAACCAAGACACCCTTAATGTTTTCATTAATATTTAACACCTTTACCTAAATCACCACATCTTCCCAGTTCTTAGTTATTAACTCACTAATTCTGTATTTGTAATTCCCTGCAAGTAAGGACATGGGTTTTTTGTAGAGGAAGGAATAAATGGGAACACAGTATGAGCATTGTTTTACTTTCAAGAGTGCTATTGGCAAGAAGAAAACCTTTGGGATTTCTTTGGCACCAGGAAGCACAGAAACATTCAAATAGGAATGATTTAAGGACTAACACACACAACCACAACTCATTCTGAAGAACACGCTTCCTATATGTTCTGTGAAGCTTGAATGGCATGATTTGTGCTGAGTAAAATTCTTAAACCTGAGGAGTACTGATTTCTATATTGGTTTATAAAGTTATACCTAGGAGGTTTATGTTTAATGTTCTTGCAAAAGGCATGCTTCAAAATTTAAAAACAAAAAGTAATGTGCATTTATTTTTTAAAGATTTTTATGAATACATTAAAATACCTGCAAATTCATGAATATCTCCTGGATGTGGACTTGTGGAGACTTTTTGCAAATCTGGAGGAGTTAACTCAGGTAAGCCAAATAAAAAGATGCCAGCAGCCATGTGTTAAAATTCACCGGAGAATCATGAAAATTCATGCTTGGTACATAGGTATGACTTACATTCCATGCTGGAATATGCAATATGACTTATTCTATGTTCCATCCCCATGTAATATTATGGTTAGGAGTTCAAGTTTATAAGAAAGATGTCTAAAACATCCCCATCATCTTCCAAACAAATTGTAGCTATTAGTTAACCATTTTTCACTTTTCCATGGCTGTTTAGGTAAGTAGACATAATCCTACAATCTCCATAAATGTTTACCTTCAAATTAATGCCATTTTCTCACCTATATTACAATTGAATACTATTGTTCCTCTCAAATGGAAGGAAAGAGAGCTAGTGATAAGAATTTATTCATCTGAGATGGAATGATGTTCAGTAGTACGGTGCTTGCTTAGCATATGCCAGCCCCTGAATTTTCAACCCTCAGCACTACAAAATATACCCTTTATAAAATTTAAAAGAAAAGACATACTACAGAGTGGAAGAAAAGAAATCTTTGAATTTTGCTAAGAGATAAATTTAAAATAGAAAGTGTCTATAAGAATGAAATTTAAGGTTCATCTCAGTTTTTATTTATTTATTTATTCATGCTTGTTATTTTGTGACAGGGACATGCTATGTAGTGCAGGCTAGCCTTGAACTCAAGATCCTACTGCCTCAGCCTCTTGAGTCCTGGGATTATAGACATGTACTGCCATGTCCTGCTTTCATCATATTCTTCTTTTTTTTTTGGCAATACTGGGGCTTGAACTCAGGGCCTTCACCTTGAGCCACTCCACCAGACCTATTTTTGTGAAGGGTTTTTTGAGATAGGGTCTCATGAACTTTTTTTGGCCCACACTGGCTTCAAACTATGATCCTCCTGATCTCTGCCTCCTGAGTAGCTAGGACTACAGGCGTAAGCCACCGGCACCCAGCCTTCATCATATTCTTATCTCTTACCCTGAATGTATCCTCTCTTGTTTTCTTTCTCTCTGGCCCTAGACAAGCCTTAGATTTGTGAACAGTCTTTTCAGCATCATCAAGGACTATGTAGATGCTTCTGAGACTTCGCCATTCATGGATTTCATTTCCATACTCACAAAGGTAAAAATCCCTTGGGAGATCTGTTTCATGCAATAAATTTGCCCACCTCCCAGGACAGTTGTTGATAGCTACTTGATTTCTTTGTTCTTTCTGGAAATTTTCTACTAACACCTTCTCAGAAAGGAACCACCCCTGTCTCACTCAGCCAATGTTTTTCCTTTTTTTTAATAACATGTAAATTCTGTTTTCCTCTTGTCATATCTCCTGTGGATTTTATTAATACAAAAAATCCAATGCATGGAAAAGCCATTTCCAAGTCCATTTTTTAAGTGACTTCAATTTAAAGGAATATTCATGGCAATAATTTAGTATTCACTAATTAATTATATGGTTCACTTGTTCTTCTGACAAAAGTGCCTGTCTCTCAAAAAGAGGCAAAATGAACTTTAAATCCATCAGCACCCTTGATAATATTTCTATATGTGAAATTAGGAGAAAAGAAAAAAAATTGCAGTCCTGGTTTGACAAATGCTATTTATTTCTTGAGTAGATGTTTGTGTCTTCTTTTTCACTTCTCTTTTACTTTGACCTTTTAAATACAATCCTTATTTAGCAAGATTTAAATACTTGCACTCCATTAAAAAACAGAGATTGAGCTTTATTGAGCACTTACTAAGTTATCTGTATAAGGTGATACCCTGTACACAGTGTGTAAGATTAACCCAGCCTACTCCCCTTGAGGAATCTTCACTCCATTGGGGGAGAAATTAATCCAATAATGAGACTAATGATTATATAATAAAATTGTGATAAATAAAAATTTAAAAAGGAACACATATCTTTTCATGGTACCTACAAAGAAAACCTTCTAATTGGGGCGGGAGGTGGAATAGTTAGTGGTGGGAATGCCTCTTGGAGAACTGATCCCAAATGTGGATATGAAGGAGTTTTAACAAATCACAACTAAGAAATAAATTCCATATAAAGTAGGAATTTAGCAAACTTTGAAAACAGATTTAAATGCAAAAAGCTTTGGAAAACCAGAGAAAGAATATCAAGTTTGGGAAATTAGCTAAAATCTTGAGTCTCTCAATTCCTTGAGAGTCAAGCTTTTGTAAATTGAATTTTTAGTAACTATCCTGGAGAAATACTAGCTTCTTATCAAAACAGTCTTCTAAGGAATGGGGCATTAATAGACTCTTTACTAAAGGTCTAGAATATAACTCACATATGAATATCTCATACTGTATAATAGATATACAGAGATGGTTTATAGAAACCTTTCCTAAATTTAAAAGATTCTACATCAGTCAGATTAGATTCAGTAATAAATAACCACCAGCAGTTTGATTCATATCTCACTTATACTCAACTTACATTGTGTCACTATCCTAACTCTAGGACACATGACGATGGAGCAGCTATACCATAACATCATCAGTTTCCATGGCAAAGACATGAGAGTTTGTAGCCAAGCACTGGCTCTTCATATTTCTACCTAAAGCAATACTTGGCATGTCTGTCCACATTTCGTTAGCCAGATAAAGTCACATGACCAAACTTACATTCAGAGGCACAAGTGCATAGAATCCTCCCCAGGAAGGGAAATGCATGAACAGTGTCTCACAATAAGCTCACCAGCTGGAAGACTGAGACACCTTGTTATCACACATGAACCATGTGAGGAATTCTTGAGGAAGGAACTGGGGTTTAGAGAGGTCAGATAACCTGGCTAAGGTCATATAGATAATGGTTGTTGGAACTGGATGTCTTTGCCTGACCACTAATAACTCATACTATTGGCCACTCAACAGTTGCCTCCTACTTATGGTGGTTTCTTAGACACATCAGTGCCCTGGATGGAAAACCTTCCTGTCACCTCTAAGTCCTTGTCTCTGCCCAACCATCCACCTATAACTGCCAAAATAAATTCATATCATCTCTTTCACATTTCTTCTTGCTGGAGCCAAAAACTTGATGTTGCTTATCCATTAGTATTTCATCCTCTGAGGTCTGTGACAAAATATTTTTCTACATTTTCATTGTCTCTATTATTGTCACTTTCTTTTGTGACTTTTTTAGAAGGATTTGCTTTCTTTCTAATCACTAGTTCTAGTATTTCCAGGAAGTGTGTTTTCCTTCTCACGATCCTACCACATTGTGATACTGTTGGAAATTCCTTAATGGGACCCATGACTTGTTATATTAATAAATGTCTCTCAATAGGCATATAGGCTTAGTAACATGGTAGACATTATGGAACCCTAAATAAAGTGCCTGCCTATGGTGAGACAGAAATATCACTGACAAGAATTTTCATTCCCCCAAAAGACACTTAACTCAAATGGTGGCATACTTTGTGATGTGCTGAGTTTGACATATATATATATATATATATGACTATACATGACTATCTGTAGAAAAATTGACAATTTGTCTCATTCTAAAATGAATTTAAGGTGGCTTACACATGCATAATCACTATATAAAGCTTTGGTCATTAAATAAGAATGAAGAAAAGATAACACAAGTGATGGATTGTGTAAGACTACCAAACAAAATACATGTTACTAAATACATTACATGTAATAGAGATGTTCTAAATTTCTACATTTTTAGACATAAAAAGAATAAAATTTATGGGTATTTTTGAGGAATATTTGATAAAAAGTTAAATGTTACTGCAATCAGTTACTACCAACATAAGCTTAACATCAACTAACATGGGCACTGAAATCAAAGACAGTATTTGTTACTAGGCACTATGCAGGTTGTGTGGGCCTCAAAAAGCTTAACACAAGTGATGGGTTAATTAAATTAAGACATCTTAAATAGAATTTTCATTGAGTATGGGGAGAAAGACCATTTACGAGGTGTTAATTTTATTATAGGAACATCATATGTTCTTAAAAGAATGTTTGTTGTGGAGATTACCTGTGTATGTCTACACAGCCAAAGCTCCTGCGTCATCATGGGTGCTCCTGCTTCATCAGGGAGGCTCCTATGTCATCATGGCATCTGATTTCTCTGATGTAGTAAAGCGAAGAGAAAGAGAAAGTCTCTCAGGGCTTAGTACTCTCCCTAACCTCTGCTCATTCTCCTTCTTCTCCTGCAGTATTTCCGAGGGAGCCTCTGTCAGAGCCACCAGACTTACTGCCTGAATTACTCTGCTGCTGTGTTTTATCTGGAGAGCCTGAGGCAGAGAGATGACTTCAGCATTTATTTAAAAGTACAGTACAAATGGATTGTCTTTTATGTTTTCCAACATTCTTTGGGAATAACAGATACTAGTAATTATTATGTCCAAATTAAATGGGAAAGAAGAAAAATAATCTACAATACATTTTAACCACAATTCTGCTTTCCTCTTAAACAATTTTAAATGCTGAACATTTTGGAAGCATGATATCTAATATCCCACTTGAAATTTTGTCTGGGGCTTAAAAATTTTTTTATTTATGGTAAAATTGGTACACTATAGGGAGAAAATTGAATAAGAATGTCAGCTTTGGGGCTGTAGAGTGCCTGCCTAGCAAGCATGAAGCTCAGTGTTCAAACACCAGTACCACCAAAAAAAAAAAAAGTTCATGTAAGTTTTGTTAGTGGCTAGAAGTGTGGCCCTTGTGGGATTTTGGTCCTAGCAAAATCCTGTTGCACAAAAGGTAGGAGCATTATTTACGTTGACACCCACTATATTAGCTCCTAGAGCACAATGTAAGTGCTGTTCCTGGAGTTGTGCAACATGGCAGCTCTGGATCTTAAAAGCTTTGAAACAAGAAATTTATGCTGGGGCCTCCCAGCTAATAAGCAAACTGGGAACTCATTTTTCCTTGTCTTCTCCATTTCTTTTGACCCATCCTTTGACATCTCATTAGTGTGAATTATGTCTTTTCAGTACTATGCCAGAGCCCTTCTGTATAATCCAGAGAAAATTATCCAATCCTTCCCAGAAAACCCACTCTTCTCTACAGCTGCCACAGTGTCTCCTCAGAGGATTGGGAAGAAAGGCTGCCAGGGCTCCCAATGACTCAACTGTGAATCCCTGGGTCTTTGCATTGGTCTCCATGTGACAGGAAGCTTAGGTGGGGCAGGGATGAGAAAAGAGGAGTGCACTTTAGAAAGAGACTTGGCCCAATTTTTGGAGCTTCAGCCTTTCCATATTTTCTTTGCTACTCAAACTAAAAATGGAAAGAAAGCTTATTAGTTTCCAAACATATATGACAGTCATGTTGCAAATGGGTTCCCTGAAAGCTGAGAAATTAGACTCCTAACTAGGCCCCTAAATCAGGTCCATTTCTCTTCCTTCCAAACTAGGGAAAGATTAACTTAGTAAGGTTGTGAAACTATTTTCAAATAACTGTAGAAAACTCATGAATTGTGATGCACGAGCGTAGTTTATATTAATATATGAACACATATCACATCCAAAGATTTATTTAGAAGGAGTAAAGGATGCAGCACAGTTGTGGTAACTCATGACACACACGATGCTTTTATACCAGGCACACCCTTGAATATCTCTTTTGTTCTTAACACAAACCTCTGAAGTTGATGACATCATTCCCATGTGTTCTTGAGACTCAAAGAGGTTTTATGACATTTGCAAGGTCACATAGCCAAAGGTGACAAATAAAGAACTATATTAAAGTCCTTAGGCAAAGATCTGTGTTGAACCTGATTTAAACATAACACAATGTATACATGTACTGAAAAATCCACATGGGTACCACCATATTACGTATTAAGAAAAAATTGATTCAATTTAAATTTTTTAAAAATTCAGTGCACTTTACACTAGCACCGTTTCCAGCTCTTCAGGGTTATTTTCAATGCCCTGGAAACTGTTAGTCTCATGAGACCAAAAGTGAGGGCTCAAGAAGAGACTTTGCAGGAGTTGAAAAGAAATCTACCGTTCATGACCCCATAGCACAGAATGAAAGCATCTTCACAGGTAGTAAACTGGCTATTTCCAGTCCTTGTTATGGGCCAGGCATCATACTTCATGCCAAACACCTGTGGAATCTTTGCATAACAGCTCTGTGAAATTTCATATAATACCCTTATTTCAGGAGCTTACACAAAGTTATGCATCTTTTTTATTAGTGTATATCAACTGTACAAAAGGGTTTCATTGTGATATTTTCACACATGCATACAATTACTTTGATCAAATTCATCCCCTCATTCCTTTCTTATCTACCTCCCTCCTTTTTAAACAATTTTAACCAGTTTCTTACAAGTGTATGAAGTACTTCAATCAATCATACTTACCCCTTCACTCTCTTCTTTCTCATTCTTCCCTCCTTCTGGTTCCCACCCCGTAATTCCTACCTCCATTATACATGCATGCGTTTTCTTTTAGGTCTAGATTCCACTTATGAGAGAAAACATGTGATTTCCAGCTCGCTTATTTCACTTGAAAGGAAGGATGATTTCCAGTTCCACCCATTTTTCCAGCAAAAAACATAATTTTATTCTTCTTCATGGCTGAATAATACTTCATTGTGTGCATACACCACATTGTCTTTGTCCATTCTTCATTTGATGGACATGTAGATTGATTCCATGACTTGGCTGCCAGCACAAAAACAGACATGTAGAGCAATGAAGCGTTACGAATAGTGCTGTTATAAGCACAAGTGCAGCGATAACACTGCTGTGTGCTGACTCACATTCCTTCAGATACGTGCTCAGGAGTGGTGGGGCAAGATCATATGAGAGTTCTAGATTTAGTTTTTTGAGGAACCTCCATGCTGATTTCCATAGTGGCTACACTACTTTACCTTCTCACCAACAGTGTAATAGGGTTCCTTTTTCCTCTCATCCTCACCAGCATTTGTGGTTTGTTTTCTAGATGAAAGCCATTCTGACTGTGATGAGATGGAATCTAAGTGACATTTTGATTTGCATTTCTTTTCTGGCTAAGGATGCTGAACAGTTCTTCCTGTAATTATTGGCCATTTGTACTCCTTTTGAGAACTGTTTGTTCAATTCATTTGTCCATTTGTTAATTGGATTATTTTTTCAGTTGGTGCTTAAGTTTTGGAACTCAATCTGAATTTTGGTGGGTACTGCATTGAATCTATAGATTTCTTTCAGTATTATAGCCATTTTCACAATAGTAATTCTGCTAATCAATGAACATGAGAGGTCTTTCCATCTTCTTGTGTCTTCAATTTCTTTCTTCAGCGTTTTATAGTTTTCACCGCAGAAGTCTTTTACCTCCTTTTTAAGGTTTTTAAGGTTTACGCCTAGGTATTTAACTATTTGTGGCTATTGTGGATGGGATTATTTTCCTGATTCCTTTCTCAGCCTGTTCACTGTTGGTATATAGAAAGGCTACTGATTTTTGTATGTTAATTTTGTATCCTTAGGTTACTTTAAGTATAGGATCATATAATCTACAAGAAGGGATAATTTGACTTCTTTCTTTCCTGTTTGTATCACTTTTGTTTTCTACTCTTGCCTTATTGCTCTGGATAAGAATTCAAGCACTATATTTAATAAGAGTATAGAGAGTAAACACCTTCATCTCATTCTTTACCTTGATGGTAAAAAAATGGCTTCAGTTTTTCCCCATTTAATACAATGTTGGTTATTAGTTTATCATATACAGCCTTTGTTATGTTGAGGTATGCTCCATCTATTCCTAGTTTCTCCAGGACTTTTATCATGAAGAGTCGTGGAATTTTCTCAAAGGCTTTTTCTGTAACTGTTGACATTATCATGATTTTTGTCCCTTATTCTCTTTATCTGCTATATTACATTTATTTATTTGCATATGTTAAACCACCCTTGCATCCCTGAGATGAAACCAACTTGATCATGGCGTATGACCTTTTTAATGTGTTGTTGAATTCTGTTTGCACATCATTTATTGAGAATTTTCCCATCTATGTTCATCAAGCAATTAACCTGGAATTTTTCTACATTAAGTTTTGGTATCAGGGTAATAGTGGATTCATTAAATGAGTTTGGGGGAGAGGAGGCTGTGGATATTACATGATTTGGAGGGTTTGGGCTCACGCCCCTCTGATCCACTTAGAAGCCAACTCAGGCAGCCAGGAGGCAGCCTTGGAGGCCCAACACAATGCCATCCACAGGCTCTGTGCTTTGTTCCCATCATGACCCTCAGACAGTGAGACTTCCTCCTTGCCAGGGAAGGGAGGGGGGCCTCTGACCACCAGACCCCTGGCTGCTGTAGCTCCCTACTGCTTAAACTTCTCTGTGAGACCATGCCAGACCCCATCCCTCTCCACAACCACCTCTCATGGTCATCTCCCATTCAGTTCTTCTTGCAAAGTGTTCCAAGACTCCTTGAGCTGTGGTTGCTCCTCATTTTCAAACTTCTAGAGTAACTCAGTCTCCAACAATAGGCTGTCTCTCAAGATGGTATCTTACAATAGCTCTCAGAGATGAGGAGAGAGGCAGAATATCTTCTTCACTGAGGGTAGCCTTCCACACCAGAGTAGTCACTGTCTCACCAAATCCCTTCATTGGGCTTAAGGCGTTCAGGGAGATGTGGGTTTATCATGCAGTTAGAATTGCCAGTCTGTCACCAGGGCCATCTGTCTTACCTTGTGATTGTATCTTTGGCTTCTCCTCCTCCTCCTGGGGATCCAGAGACAGGGCTTGGAACTATTTTCTGCTTTCCTCTGTTGTTTCTGTCTCTCCATGCTTTTCTGTTGCCCCACCACCTCCTTTGAGATTCCCAATGCCCTTCCTCTCTTTCTCTCATCAGAATATAGCCTCTCCTTTGTTACATGAACTTTCCCATTTACAGAATCAAACAGTGGACACACCTAATCTGCCATCTTGCCCCACCACACCAAATTTAGGCATCTTTCTATAAGACACAGGTTAGAAGAAGGATTCTAATTCAGGTCTGTCTGATGCGGATGTCCATTCTCCTACTATCCTCTGCTATAATGTCTTTCTTAGAAAACTTAAATCTTTATCATACTTTGGGTATTGTGGGATGCCTGGAATCAGAGTACAAATCTGCTAGGGTTAATTTATCATGCAAGGTTGGGTTTTATGAATATGCATACATTATCCTGGTGCACATTAACAGGAGGATGATTATTCCCACTATTGTAGAATCCATTGGCATGCTGTAGAAGAAGCCAGGAATTTTGAACAAGTCTCAGTGTAGTCTAACTAACAATAGCTAAAAACTCAAGAGGTCAGGGCTCAGTGTTTGACAGGCACTGTTGTATGCACTTTGTATGGATTATCTAATTAAAATTTCTCACCAACTCAGTGAGATAATTACTCTAATTATCTACACTGGACAGAGGATATTTGAAGAGATTAAGTAGTTTTCCTAAGGTCTCCAAAACACTGGCTGACCTAAAGCCAATTCCGTGTCCCACCAAGACAGATTTATTAAAATGTCATTTTTATTTATACCCCTTAACTCCTTTTGCTGTTCCCCTAAACACACTGGACACTTATTAGCAAAAAAAAAAAGTGGCCCCATTGATCTAAATCCATCAATAAAAGACCTTTTATGTTCAATCTCTCTTGATAGAGATGTTCTTTAATAGACCTGAAAAATAAAGCCAATAGAGAGATGAATGAAAAAGTTATGGCCTTAGTTTCATAATTGTCAGCCAGCATTTTTTTTCTGTCTTCTGAGGTTTTCCAAAACACAAAGTTTCTGATATCTCTTCTTGAATCTTGGTATTGTTTATCACTGGCATGCCTTATCTGATTAATATCTAGAGGATATCAAGTGTTTTTGCCTTTACCCTCACTACCAGTGACTGCTAGAAATCATAGCTGTTCCTCGCAGCTTGAGAATTTGGGGCAGTGGTCTGGGGTGTGGGGTGTGTTTTGAGAGGATCCTTAGCTGCTGCTGATAAATCAGTTACTGATTTATTATCCAGGAGAATCAACAGGTATCACAGAAATTATACTGAAGAATCAGCCTAGAAATCAGCCAATAAAATGACAGCTCTCCCATCCTCCTCCCCTTCTTTCTACCTGTTACCACTCCCAGTCTTTCCCCACCTGAAGACCCTGCTTCCTTCTCCATTCTTTCCAACCCCAATGAGAGCCACTACTTTGTGGATGTAGATGAGAACTTGGAGATCATCTAGTGCCCTTCACCACTTCATGGAAGAGAAGGGAAGGTGATCCTAGGAGCCTGGCTCCTGGAGCTCCATGCATAGTGTCCCATGCTCACTGTATGACCCACTGTCAGCATAGGGGTATAGAAAAATGTGTAGTCGGCAGGATTCTTGTGAAGAGCCCCAAGTGTTTTTGAAAGAAATACTTTGATAAAGATGCTAGTGTGGCAGGGTGAGATCCCCCACCCCTACACAAGAACATGGTTGAGCAATGAAAAGCAAGTTCAAATTGCTAAGCAGGAGGCTAAGACAAAAAAGGGAAAGCTGTCAAGGGAAGAGAATGGAGTCAGCACATGGACTTGGACTGTGCATTCAACACTTTCCATGGTCTCTAGTGAAATGAAGATGCATATTCACAAAATATTTGGCATGTGGAGGTTACAATGGAAATCAACCAAGAGTGCTATGGTTTGAATATCCCCACCAAAATTCATGTTGACATTTGATTCCCATTTCCAATTATTAAAAGATGGACCAAGTGGGGCCTTTAAGAGGTGATTGGGTCATGAATGCCCTGCCTTTGTGAATGGGTTAATTTGTTGATTGGTTAATGGAATAATGAGTTATCACAGGAATGTCTTTGTTATGAAATCAAGCTCTATCTGGCACCATGTGATGCCCTAGGCAAACAGACCCCACCAGCAAGAGAGCCCTCACCAGATGCGGCCCCTTAACCTTAGTCTTCCCAGCTTCCAGAACTATAAGAAATAAATTTCTTCCCCTCATAAATTACCAACTCTCAGGTATTCTATTACAGAAAATAGACTAAGGGGGCTGTGATTGAGCCATGCTATTCAGGGAAGAAACAGGGTAAATGCAAACAGTGTATCCGGAAACAGAGTCATACAAAGCCATTAGAATCTCAGTCCCCACAGTTTTATAAATATTTAGGAGAGGAATTTGGACTTCCATGAGCCACTGAATTAGTGGGAGTTTGAGTTGACTGAACCTACAGCTCCAAAATGGTACAGGTGACATTTGGACATAAAGATGACTTTGGGGAAGCATAGGGAACAATCTACAGTGTGTTTGTACCACTTGAAGATAGCCATGGAGGCTCTGGGTGATGAAGCAAAAGAGTTCACCTGGGCCTGAACTGAGAATGAAGGGTAGAAAGAGGCAACAGCCTAGAGCAAATATTGAGTGTAAAGACAGGATTGCTGCCACAGTCAACTTGAACTGCTATAACAAAGTACTGCAGACTTGGTAGCTTACAAATAACAGAAATGTATGTCTTACATTTCTGGAAGGTGGATGGGTGAAATCAGACATTTGATGAGGGCCCTTTTCTAGGTTGTAGACTGCTATCTCTTCTCATATCCTCAATGGTGAAAAGAGAACTAGAAAATTCTCTGAGGTCTCCCTTATAAGGGCACATATCTCATTCATGAGGACTCTACTCTCATGACCTAACCACCTCCTAAAGGCCCCACCTCCTAATCCTATCCTGTTGGGGGTTAGGATTTTAACATATGGATGTCGAGGGGCCACAAATATTTTGTTCAAATCAATCCCTTTATAGCTGAACTCAGGATCAATTTGGGGTGAGTGGGTGGGATAAAAGAGGAAGAACACATGCTTCAGTAATACTTCGTGATATACATTTCTGCTTAGTTACCAGCAACCGGATAGGGGCTCTTACATTCAAGGACATGTCACGTTCAAAGACACAGCCCAGTAGATAAAACAAATGTAAAAACTACTCTTACATTTACTTGTGTTTCTTGAATATCATTTATAGAGCTCCAGTGTATACCTCATAGCAATACTTACTAAAATTCCTTTTCCTGTATTCTCTGGTACTTGCTTACTCTGAAACTGCCTCCTTGCCAACTCCAAACTTTTCCATGTGAAAACTATCTGTTTTCTATCTCTCTCCTCTTTCCTATTTGCCCCATATCATATAGATCAGCTTAGCCTCTTGGACCTCTATTTTCATTTTAGATCATTACCATGATTCTCCCCAGCAAAGGAGAATCAAAGAACTGACCTGCCAAGCAAAACTCCCTTCTTTTCCATTCCACCTCTCAGTCCTGATTCACACCTCTCTTAACTGCATCACAGCAAGGATGGGATCAAGCTGGTGAAACTAGGGATCTCTCTTAAGGGACAAGAAGTAGGAGAAGCCAATGGGCAAAATTAAACTCTCAAATGAGAAGAGTACACAAGGCTAGAGCACATATATTAATACATCTTGACACTACCACAAATGCAATATGCATTTGGGGGGCAGGGATTAATGAGTTTTAAACTTTTCCTATGCATCTAAATCTTGATTTGATTCCCCTCCCCCCGCTTTTCTTTGTGGCACTGGGGTTTGAACCCAGGCTTTCATGTTTGCTAGGCAGGTGCTCTTAAAGGTTGAGCCACTCTGCTAGCCTGATGTTCCCTTTTAGGAGGACAGAGTGGTGGTGCTGTTGACTACTGCCTTCATCACTATTTCAGGAAGGCAAAATATGCAAAGAAGGATTTCTTTTCCTTTCTCTAACTGAAAAGCAGTTACTCAGTAATATTCTATAATACTTCTTGATCACACCAAAGAATCCAATTTGAGGCCCTAAATTTGGAACTGGTAGATAGATGCTTGCTAAAGACAATTTAATAGGGAGTTTTCAAAGTCGATGACTAGTCAATGGCTTATAACTTTTCTCAGCAAGTTCACAGTTGCACTCTGTCAAGTCTCGAGGAACTTCTTGTGTCCAGGCTTCTCAGTGGCTCTTCAGGAGATGTGATATTCAATATGTCCATTTTTGCCTTCCTTAGTGGTGCGAGCAAAATGAACGGTGTAAACGGCTTCACCTGCCGGAGCTCCTAGTAGCCCCACTGCACAGGCTTACTCGATATCCCTTGTTGCTGAAGAATATCTGGAAAAGGAGTACAGACTCCACTGAGAAAATCATGATCTACTCCATCAAGGAAAAGGTGGAAAAGTCAATCCGTAAGTCCGTGAGATATAAAACTTAATTTAAAAGTCAGAGAGCTGTATGGCTCTTGGGAACCATCTGAGCTTCCATTCTTAAAAGTGATTTCATTTGACTTGAGGTCATGACGCTGGGAAATGGATCCAAATTTGAGTGCATTATCAAACACACACAAACCAACAGACTCTAGTCACATCCTGGGAGAACACTGGCCAAGTTTATGTGGGAAGTGGCTCTGTCTCCAAGGGTTTCAGAAGTGAGTTTGAGCAGGAAAAGTTCTACTTCCCAGATGTTTGAAGACACTTTGCTCTTTAACATCCATTCTGAAACCCTGCACAGAGAAAATGAGAGTAAAGACCATGGAAAGCCTAATCTGCAAGATACATTTCCATTCATCTTTTAAAAAAAAATCACTGAAATATGGGGGCAAATTGTAAAACTAATACCAATTGCAATCTTTAGAACTGAAATTTAGGGATGGAAACTGAGCAAACCCTAAATGTCTTCAGTGTATTTATATAGCTCTGTATAATCAAAATTAAATAAAAAGGTTCATGATGTATGCCCATAAAGCAACTTTTCCTGGTGGGCATCCAAAGGGAACAACTCAAATTGGTAATTATCAGTTGTACAGAAATGATATACTTGTGCTTTTTTGCAAAGGTAAAATTAAACTGGCCATGGAATTGGGAGAAGACAGTTCTTTCCTCTTTTCCAATCTTTTATTCAAATTCCAAAATGATCTAAGGATCATTAAGTTTAAGTTAAGTTTATCAGGTGATTAAGAAGTAAATTCAATCAAACTATTTAAAACTTTTAAAATAATGTTGAGGATTATTATGAATTAGGATAGGTTTGTGAGAAGATAAAAGTCAATTCTCTGAAGATGTCGCAATCAAAGATGAATTCTTACTGCTGAAGGAAGAGCTCTCTGAGTGGCTTTTCTTTCAGTTATTACCTATTCTCGTGACTTCTACTAACCACGTGATTCTATGAGTCTACCACTTGCTCCCATGTTTTTCAAAAATTATTTCAAAACAACCTCAATAACAACATGTTATTTGAAGTGCTAGAAACTGAACACAAAACTTCAAAGGACAAATTGAGTTCTTACCCCAAAGAAATAATTATCCTTATTATGAAGGGGATGTATGCTGTATGATTAGGACCAAAATATATGTTTGTCTTTATTAGCCTACTATTTTTCTTCTCTTACTTATAGTCTATGTGTGGTCTGGGGTATAAAAAATGAACAAGAGCTTTGTTAGTATTATTTTTCTCTACAAGAGGCTGATTTTAAATTAGTGAGTTTCCTAAGACATTGAAACAGCAAGCAATATGTTAAATGATCCTAAATTATGGTTTGTCTCCAGGGGCAGACAGTGTGTCTAAATGATCACTATATATACAGTTAAAATGCATGCTGCAATATTTCATGACTTTAAAACTATATTGGCTGTGCCTTGTCTTTCAGGGGATCTTGAAGGAAAAGTGAAGTGGCTTGACAATTTCCAAAAATTTAGACACCTACAGGAAATCATAGTATGGCCTCCACTTTGGGATAGAGATAAAAGGTTTTTCATTCCAGAGGTACAAAAAGGATCAATTTAGGGGTGGGGGGAATAGGAGAATGATGGACGGGTGAATTCAACTACGGTATATTCCAAGAACTTTTGTAAATGTCACAGTGTACCCTCAGCACAACAATAATACAATAATAAAAAGGGGAGGGGGAGAAATAAAAGCCAAGTAAACACACACACACACACACACACACACACAAGGATCAATGAGGACTTCTGCCCCTTTCTGGAAGTCTGGTGTTCAAATGGCAATAAAATAGTTTTAGAAAATCCACAGTTGTCCACTTAAAGGAGAGCCTTCATGGGGAGAATGATATCATTATGCCACCTTGGAACAGTCCTTCTGAGACTGTCCACAGCATTTCTAAGAATCCCGAACATTCTAGATGGAGTTGAGTACCCCAGCTTTTTGAACGTGTTCTCTTTCAATCACTAACAACATCTCTTTTGTTTTCTCCCTTTTTTTTGCAAGTGTTTGAGACACATTTTTAAAGAACACATGGCAGAAAACATCTTGTCACCAACCAACAGACACCTTCTCTATGAAGGAAAATTAACTCTTGCAGGTAAATAACTGATTTAAAACTCAACACCTTGGCTACTATATAACTTGACTGTCATTAGTTGAAGGGCAGAAGGAATAAGGTCTACTTCTGTCCAGGGTGGTGGAGGGTATTGATAGGAAAACACTCAGCTTAAACAAAGACTTCACATTGTAACTGGCTATGGGCCCTCCATTTTTCTCTCTGGAAAATGGGATCATTATATCTATACCATAAAATCCTTGTTAAAACAAAATGACATTCATGAAGAACTTAGCTCAAGGTCTGGCATGCAATAAACTCTAGGTCAGTCCAAGCAATCATTATCATCATCATTTTACTCCTCCAGTGAGCTAGTCAATCCAGCTATCACATGTTTATTGAAAACTCATTACATAGCAGGTGCCACTGAAAGATACAAAATAATTACTCTGTATAATCATTTCCTGTCTGGTTGGGAGACTGTCCTGATTGCTGGGCCTGCAGTTTAAGTTCAGCTGAGAGTCTTTAGGCTGGAGTGCCCAGCAAAGGCTTCATGCAGCACTTGGGACTAGAGGTGAACTTTGAAGAACAGAACAGCCAGGAGGGAGGACAGGACAGATAAGGAGCACAGTAGGGGAAATGGCTGGGAGGCAGAGGCCAGCTTTGAGAACAGTCTCCTAGCAGAGGGCATGGGAGGGCTAGCCCCAGTGCAGCCACTGCCTGGCCCATTCCCAGCTCAGCTCTTTCTGCCTATCCAGCCTTGCAACAGTCACAGGGGTCCTCTGCTTCTGTCCCCCTTCTTTACTGTGAGGAGTGGATAGGCCAATAGATGGACAAGCACTTGAAAGGATGATGGATACAAAGTCCGTGTTCAATAAGTAGTATGATGATCAGAAAGGGTTGTCTGGAACGAACAAGGTCTACAATCATTCATTCATTAGTGCCAATAATTTTGATTGGGTGCCTACTGTGCGTGAAGCTCTACAGGGTGTGATGGTGGCTATTTGTGAAGGCAGAGGTCTTGTGCGGAGGTTCCGGAAGTAATTCCTTCCTCTGTACATGGATTGAGAATCTGCTGTGTGTTAGAGATAGTGTTCAATCTCAGGCTAGAACACAGTCCCCACCTGGCAACTGTTAAATAGGGAAGACAAACATGTCCAGCGTTTTATATGAAAGAGCTTGTCATACAGAGTCTCCCTCCTGTGAGCACACAGAGAAGTCATGTTCAACGCCATGTTGCAGGTGAGGAGACTGAGTCTCAAGGAGGCTTCTTACCATGTTCAAGACCACCAAGCAGGCAAACAGCAGAGTTCTGGGTCAGTCCAGGCCACCTTGGCCTGCGAACCTCCTAGAATCCAAGGAACCACCTTGGAGACAAAACAGAGCGACCCAGCCAGGAAACTGTGGCCAACAAGAAGTCATTAAGTTCTTTTTTTTTGTGCTGGGGAATTGAACCCAAAGGTCTGCATGTGCTCTACCACTAAGCTACACCCCCCAGCCCCAGTTGCTGTGTTCTTGAAGGGAAAGATAGGCATGAAAGGGTGTGGAAGATAGAGTTATTGGGAAGCAGTGCAAAAATGGGACAGAGGACATGAAAGCAGAAAGATCAGGCAGGAATTTAAATAGTAAAGCTGGAGGCAGAGGGGAAGGGAGAGATGAGGAGGCACTGAGCCTCTGGTACTCAACCTGTAGTTCATGTAACCCCCACATTTTCTTTTTTTTTTTTTAGCAATACAGGAGTTTGAACTCAGGGTCAGCCCTTTTTTGCTTTAGTTATATTTCAGACAGAGTCTTATATTTTTGTCTTGAGGCCAGCCTCAGATTGCAGTCCTACCTATGCCTTCCATGTAGCTGCAACCATTCCTGGCTTATTGGCTGAGATGGGGGTCTCACTAACTTTTTCCCCAGGCTGGCCTCAAACCACTATCTTCCCAATCTCCACCTTCTGTGTAGTTGGGATTATAGGCATGTGGCACCACAGCCAGCACCCCCAATCTCCACTCTCATTTGGAAAGATAACAATTTTCATTTTTCTTTAATGTTATTAACAATTGTATATTATGACAAGATTAAATCAAACTAATGAAGCAAAAAAACTTTGTGTTTCTCAGTCCAAGACCATTTGCCTCTCCCACCAAAATACCTCCATTTGACATTTTTCAAGATAGTCCTCTCCTTTCCAGCCTTCCAACAACATGAGATGCACTGGCCTCTCCTAAAATGTTTGAGATGAAGACTGACAGTAAAGGACAAGTGTGAGAGAGGAGGGCATTATGATTGAGAAAGTGGTTGGAAAGGAAAGAAAGTTTAAGAAGCCTTTAAGTATGCTATTGCCTGAAAGTTTTGAGATTAACACTGGGTGGTAGAGGGGGTGGGTCAGGGAATCAGTGTTAGAGTTCAAGTGTGGGCATGGTGAGAAGCCATGAGGAAGTTGGATGAACATCTGGTTGATGAGAAGCCATGTCAGACAAGCAGGTATACATTACTTGGACTCAAGGTGATCATCAAGGAAGTACAGGTGGGGGACTCACCTAAGAAAGAATCTTCATAATGAGACCCAACTTCTCCAGAAAAAGCTTCTTGTAGGGTCATGTGTGATGGAATGGCGATGAGCTATATAACGTCACTAATGCCATACACTTGCAGAATGCCACCACCTGAATTAGTCAAATTCAACAGAGATAAGACAGGTTTAACCAGGGGGCTCTGACTTAGAGTTGGGCAGAGATCTGATGGAGCAAGAGTAATAGTGGTAGAAGAAAGACAGCATAATTTTGAATAGGAAAAGCACTAAACCAAGAATCAGGGTGCTGGGGGCATAGCTCAGTTGAGCGCATGCTTAGCATGTGCAAGGCCCTGTGTTCAATCTGTAGCATCAATTAAAAAATAATCAGGGAATCTAGCACCAATTGTGGGCTTTGGGGAAGTTGTTTAAATTCTCTTAATCTCTTCTCTAAATGTTGATGATGAAATGATGGCAATGAAACCTGGAACTCATAATTTCCAAATGTCTTGCAGTCTTAAAAATATACTACTATAACTAAGTAAGTATATTTTCCCACTCCCAGGAGATACTAGTTTTCATAACTTTTAGTGCATACGTATACTTCCCACTGGAATCCAGGCTGGATACTCTTTACAATACATTTCTCCAAACAGATTGATATTTTTAAATAGAACAATGAGTAAGGTGCAGACAAATACGAAGGTCCAACTGATTTAACATTTGAAGAACTTGTACTGTTCAAGTTGCTGCAAAAATGAAATGAGGCAGTAATGCTGCTCCCAGAAGCAGTCCTCACTAGGAATCAGATCACCCAGCACTTTGTTCTGGGACTTCCCAGACTCTAGAACCATGAGAAATAAATGTGTACTGTTTAAGCCATCTAGTTTATGATATTTTCTTATGGCAGCTTGAGTTGACTAAGACAAAGATCTAATGGTGTTCAAATATTCCATTCCTAGCTCTGCATATTAGTTAGGATATAGATTCAGCTGCTGGGGACATATCAGTCACTTGACAGAAGATTAAGACTATCTCTCTCTCGTATTGGTTAGGGACCCAGGTTCCTTCTGCCTATTGCCATTTCGTGGGTGTTATTTTCTTCTGTGTGGCCCAAGATGATTCTCCACTGTGTCTGCATTTTACCCAGTGAGAAGGAGAGAGTGGATAAGAGCTTAATCACACCCTTCAGAGATGTGATTCATAAGTTACAAACTTTTGTTTGCATCCTATTCGCTGGAATTTAGTTCCCTGGTCATGTTCAGCTGCAAGAGAAGCTGGGAAATGTAGTACTTATTCTCTGTAGATGTGTACGGAATAAAACTCAGGGAGTTCATTACTATGAAAGGAAAATGGTTTTTGAAAGGTGATCAGCAGTTTTTTTCACAGCCTGATTTATGAAAAGGAAAGTTTCTAATAGTGATGTCATAGAATTCTTTTAAAATATTCAAGAATGATTCAAATTGAATAAACTATCTGATTTCTATGCAAAATGTAGGGTCATTCCTCTAGTGTTAAAGGAGAAGAGATAGAAATGAATCCTAAATATTTTATCTATTAACCTTTGCCACCTAGTTTCTAGGATTAAAAGCATATGAGAAATGACTTCTAGAACAGCATAAATAAGTAAAATAAATACAACAAACTTAAAAATTTATTGGGTTTTCTTGTATTTGCTTTAAGTACCTTGACACATCCCCTTCTAAACAGACTGCTCTTTCTTCTGAAATCACTTAAATTTATACATTTATTTTTCTAATTTCCAAGTAATAGAGTAAAATAAGGACAGGATTACCTATATGATTTATCTTCTATTGTTCTCTTCTTTGGGAAAAGTAGAAAATCCTCTATGACTTAAGTAACTATCAAAAGTAGGGACTGGGGATGTAGCTCAGTGGTTGAATGCTTGCCCTACCATGCATCAGGCCCTGAGTTCAATCCCCAGTACCACAAGAAAAAAAAAAAAGTAACATCAGAAAATTGTTAAAGCTGCATGGATATATGGAGACTATCTAAACATTTACAGACTGAGAAATAAGTGGTCTTAATGACTGTTTTAGTCAGTTAGGGATGACTCACCATAGACTGAGTGCCTCAGACAATAGAAACTGTTTCTTACAAACAGGAAGTAGGAAGTCTCAGGTCAAAGTGGTGGCTAATTTGGTTCCTTGTGGTTCCTGGTGAGGGCTCCTCCTCTAGGTTTGCAGATGACCACCTTTTGGTTGTGTCCTTTCATGACAGAGAAAGAGCTCTCTGGTAACTTCTCTTGTGAAGACATCAATCCATAAGATCAAGACTCCATCTATGACCTCCATTTACCATAATTACTACATTACTTGAAAATATAGTCACACTAGGGATTAGGACTTATATGAATTGAGGGGAAGGGGGCACAGTTCAATCATAGACATAACAAAATGCCATTTGTCTGATAAGTCTGTGGTTTTGCCAATGACCATCCACAGAGATGAGTCAAGAGGCCAAAAATGCTGCAAGTTCAATTAACTGATGGATTTCTGGTAGGCTTAGATGAAACCATCACAAATATCACACAAGTTGTTACAGATCCACTTGAAATACATCACAAATACAAGGTCTTTAAGGTTGGAATCTTGAGCTCTGATAAAGTCCATGATTTAAGAAAGAAGACATCAACTCGACATTGCTACAGGCAGTTTTCTGATCTACCTGATTGGAAACCGAGCTTCAAGCCCACCATTTGTTTGTTTTCCAAGGGATTCTTTGATTTAAAAAAAAGAAAAAGTTCTGCTTACTGTTTCCAGTCCCCATTTTTACCTTCTCTTTTCTTCCTCAGAAAGCACAAGATTCCTAGATGTTTATCTGTTTCTCTTTGATGATTTCCTCTTAGTTACGAAAACTAAGCGCAACAAAAAGGTAAAAACACTGTTGTTAGAAATGTTTCTAAATGAGTTTAAAAATATTTTTACATATAAAACTATACAATATTCTTATACATTGAATCAGAGCTCACACTCTAAACATAGAATAAAATAAATAACAAACTATATTTCTCAAGAATATCAAGGGGAATAAATATTTTTAGGATGATTTAGTCTGTATCTTTTCAAGTTAAGTCTCTGAAACCATGGGACATTATGCCTGACCTGCCTAAGCAGAGGAACCCAAAATATATTTGTCCATATTGGCCTTTCCAAATTGTCCATCACAATGAAAGCTGCCAGGGTGGGGGTGAGGGCTTTAACCTGTGAGCAGCCATGTGGCAAGGGTTAGATCCACACTCACTCTAATTTGAAAGCTCTCATGATTCTTGAGAAATGATGACTTGATGGTTGAAGGTGGAAGGGAGCCCTGATCTTTCAGTGTTTACTTGTGTAAGAACTGAAGAAGCTGAACAAGTGTATGGCTGGTATCATAGACAAAATGAGTTAACTAGAATGACAAACTCTCTATAAAGAATATTTCTTAAGTATTACCATTTCATTATTATTTTGGTTGTTATTGTTGTTTTTACTACTCCTTAAGCCACTGTTCTGTTGGTCCATGAAAGGCTGTCTCATCTCCTATTTCACAGTCTGCAACCTGAGAGCAAGTAGTATCAGGAAATGCAGCCCCTCTAAGGCTCTTAGATACCTGCCCTTAGAGGCTGGAGGAGCTATATGTCTTAAGCCATCAGAGACATCTAAAGTTCTTTTGTTCCACTCATTTCTTTACCAGATGGCCAGCCTTACATAGATAACACTAGAAGTCTACATATCTCATGTCTTTTAATAAACTAAGCCTCTAGATGACATGTTGGTTAGTTGAACTAAATAATTCAAAGCTCTTTGAGCAATAAAATAGACACCCATTAATCAACCTATGAATAGTTGGTGACTGGGGAGGGAGCAGGAGTTAGAGAATATTGAAAGTCACCATTTCAGAATTTGTATGGCTTCCTATTTTAAGCTATTCAAACTTGCATGTCTGAAGAAACCAAGTTCTGGAAAATCTCCACCCCTTCAGAGCCCTTGATTGCCAGGAGCATGTCCTACCTTCACTGCAAAGGGTGCTACTAATCAGAGCACAGGAGTCACAAGCAGCCTACATTGACCATAATTTAAGATAATATTCTGGTTTCATGCTTCACAACTTGATTTCAAAATAAGGATTGTTATTGGTTTACACCTCTTTTTGCTGTTTTGTGTGAACACAAAACAGCACGTTATCATGCAAAATGTAATCTTTTACACCCTTTTCAAAAAATCCAGCATCTTATATATTCAAGATGAAATTCTAGAGCATGGAATCTATTGACAGTTTCATATTGGACCTTATGAAAGTTTCATATTTCAACTTGGGGCTCCCCTTTTTCATTTGTATAACTTAGTGCTACAGAGATTAGTATACTGGAAATGCAGATCTTCCCAACGGTGTGCTGGAGATTAAAATGTCTCTCAAGTATAGATACCGATCATTATTTATTCAGGTAACTAAACTTGGAGATAAAAGGCACCTTGCTTTAATTCACTTTGTTTTAAGAAAATGATATTAATGATCTAGAAGGAATAAGCTAGATGTCAAGAAACTTGCTTCTAAGAATCTATTTTCCTCAAGATGCAGATATACTTGTGCACAAATATTTGTATCTTATATATTGCACTGTTTTCCTCTTTAATTTCAGAAAGTTGGAGGCTCAGACACTGGTTTAATGTGCCCTTCACTTACTCCTGAGCTGCAAACTATAATAAAAGAGGGAGGTTCATGTACAGTACTCGACCAGCCCATTCCACTAGATAGACTGGTGGTCAAAAGCATTGATCCACTCCATGTGTCGGGTATGTGTCTTTCCATCATTCAGCAACTCTGTTTGCACCACAGTTTCATATTGGACATTTTTAGTATCAAGACATGAACCCAATTTAAGCCTTCATGAAAGAAAAGACTGTGCTCCTACGTGGTTATGTATCATTCACTGTACAAATTAGTTATGGTGGCCAATGGGTGGATGGCCCTGCTCTGCTACTTGACAACTATGTGACCTTAGGCAAGCACTTAAATTTTCTAAGCTTTAGGTTCCTCTTGATGAAGTAGGGATAATAATTTAATTTTTGGTGAGTTTGCATGAGAATTAAATGAAATAATGCATATAATAAAGACAATAAATGATAGTATGACCAGTATTGTCAATCTATTTTCATTAATACTGTTGCTATTGTGAAAGCACTGGTAACCCATGACATGCTATGAAAGTATAAGATATTTTATTATAAACATTCTAGCCAAAGAAATATGCCAAATTAAATATATATATATATATATATACACACACACACACATATAGATGCATTCACACACATGCATATTAGAAATAGATGTGTCATTTTTAAACTTTTATGCAAGCATTTCCCGAATGTCACCTGACAGCCAGGCACTCAGCAGACCCTGGATATACAAGGGTGAACAAGAAACAGCCCTCACCCTTGGGGAGCTGGGCTCTCAGAATAATGAAAGATCAATCTCCTGTCAGGAAAGCCCTGGAACTCTGAGGGACTTGAAGTCTCTTTTATCTTCTTAGGGCTAGACAGGTAGTAGCAGTGTCTAAGAGAAAACAGGTAGAGGATCCTAGACCAGCTCAGGCCCGGCCTGGGAGGATCACCAACCTTCCAGTCCATGGAAGGAGCAGGAAGTAGCATTCCCTCAATCCCTAACCCAGGCACCAATCCAGCACTTCAGTCACTAGCACAGGACCAACCTAGACATAGTAGACTCATTTTTTAAACAGTGAGTGAATGAATGAGCAAATGAATGGAGAACACTTATATAGTTATGCTGTATGATCAAATGATATATTTAAATGCTTACTATATAATAACTCATGAATGAAGAAGACCTCTCTTCACAAAAGAGGGGCTACACTATCAGAAGCTCATACCCAGAAACATAGCTTTTGCCTCCTGTTCTAGTCTTTCTACTTTCAGTAAGATATGCTGAAAGGTGAGATGGGCAGGCCTTAAGGGCTCCCGTTATTTGTCTGGAGAAATCAAATAGGATGTATTAGTCAGTTTCCCATCACTGTAAAAAAAAAAAAAAAAAAAACTCCTAAGATACGTATGAAGACAAAAGGTATATTTTGGCTCACAGTTTTGGAGGACTGCTGTGATTGGTTTGCCCCACTACGTTAGGCTGTGGTCTGGCACCACATCATGGTAGGAGTATGTGGCAGAGCAAAAACACTTACTTCATGGCCAGGAGGCAAAAACACAATAAAGAGAATAAAAGGTCAAGCTTCCATAATTCCCTTTGAGGGAACCCCTGCAATAGCCTAAAGACTTCTTGGCTAAACCTCCTAAAGGTTTAACACATGGGCCTTTGGGCGACATTCAACATCCAAATAGCAGAGGCCAGTGTCTGCATGAAGCAGACATTTTAGAAGCAAGCCTAAACAGAGGGTTTTTGCCTAGTGATTGCACTCACCTCTAATGTGAGCCATTTCCCTGCTCAAGGGATGGCAGGGTGGTATAGTTAAGATAGGAATTTGGTATGTGGGAAGCAGAAACCACTTTGTGATGTGTGTTTCCATAAGGGCAGCACAACACAGAGGGTTTCCTGTGCTGGGGGTCATTCCTTACTGTAGTGGTGATTGTTAAGACTCTGGCATCCAGAGTGGAGGAAGATACCATTACCCCCAGCAGGAGAAACAGCCCTGCCAGCTGTGAGAACCAGGTCTCAGGGAAATCTGGCCTCCCAGATTCTTTGACAGATGCCTGATTTTTCTCCTCTGCTCCTTTTCCAAAAATCATTGAAAATAATACTTTTCTAAAAAACTATACTTCCATCTTTATTTGCATCTGGCAAATCTTATTCTTTTAAAAATTGTTATTCTTGTTCCTCTGGTCTATTATTTTGATAGCTTGGGTAGAGCACACAAAGGCAGATTAGCTATGGAGGGGGGAAGAGTAAATGGGGACAAGAGATCGGGCATGGGAGGGACAATTCCAAACCATGGCCATGTCACATCCAAGCTGTGTGACCTTGGAAAAATTCATCTGGTTTCTGGCTCCTCATTTGTAAGTAGGAATTACTTGACCAATCTTTTACAGTTGCTGTATGGTTTTAGTAACACAAAACAGAGGAAAACAGCATAGGGCCTGCTACATGGTAAATGCCTAAAAATTCTAAAATAATAATAAAAATGTATAATATAAATTCTATTATATTAGAATGTCAGAGAAAAAAAAGTTATTTTGCTCCTATTTTATCTTCTTATTGTACTTAACAGGCCCGGCCATACCAGATGTTTTTTGCTTATGAAGTCCCTTCCATTCATGTTATAGTTCAAACAATGAATTCTAACTAGAACTGCAGTTTCAGATTTTTAGGAAAATGTGTTCCAAACCCCAGCCAAGTTCAACAACATGATCTTTAAAGCCTTATTTTGCTACTAGGAATTTATAAGGAGAAAAATCAAAGAGTAAAACAAACACAGCCAGATCTTTTTTTTCCAGAAAGTTATTTTAATAGGTTCAAGTCATCTTATCCCAAAGAAACTGGACAGGATTTTATGACTGACTTTGACTTTGTTGTAGTAGAATTTAGGAAATGTGAGGTTTAGACTGTTGTGAGTTTAATCTGTGATACTCGGATGGTTCTTACAATTAGGAAAAGAAAAGTCTTGCATTCAGTTTGATTACAAAATAAAACCCAACCTGCCTCACTTAAGTGTGAGTTAAATTCACAAATTTCAACCAGTAACAATGACAGTGGTGCGAGGAATCAAAGTCACTTTTTCTCTTTTTCTCCTCCCTAAAGTTTTTGCTATGACCAGGAGACTGACCTGGTTTGGTTTTATGATTTGTTTATAAACACAAGCCTAGACAGAAGGTATAAGCTGTAGAATCTCATCCCCTGTGTTTATTTATAATTCAAGGGACTGACTTCCATTTTCAGAGCTTCTGGTTTTTGTTTTTGGTCTTGGTTTTTTAAAGGAATCTGCTCTCCCAGGACCGCCTGTCATTTTTTGAGACCAGCTAGAAAATTACCAGACTGTTTCTTTTGCAAACACAAAAACTATGCAGTTCTTTTTGTTTTGCTTTGTTTCATATTTCAGAAAATTTGGTAGATATTGCATTTTATTTGAATCAGTGTTTTTGACTCTTCTTGGCCTGCTGTGAAACATTCAAGTGATTTTATATTTTTGTCCCATCTTAAGACTTCTTTTGATGTGACTTCCCTTTTTTTTTCTTTATTCATTTATTCATATGTGCATACACTGGTGAATTCCATTTAAATACAAAAATAATCATTTAAAAAGGAGTGATAGGAGACAGGAAATAAGGATACTGTTTTCTTTGTTTTTGTTATCTATACTTTCACAAACACAGAATCCACTGGGTTATGCTTACCTTGTGTTATGGGGAGCCCATTTTCCCTCCCATAAGCTATAGTTGCATTTCATCAACCCCCAGAAGTCATCAGCTAAGGAAGATGGGCTATTCACATTAAATGGGTTGTTTGAACATAGGGGAATCTTATCCTTGGAATCAGAATGTTTCCTTGTTAATCTACATGAACATTCTACCCTCATTAAAATAAAAACAAACCAAAATAAAAGACAAATCCCAGGTTCTTGAAGTAAGAAATTGTGTGGATTTCATATTAAATGATTTGGCTTTTTGTCTTTGCAATATCTTTTTCTAGTCTTTGGGCTGAGAAATGCTTTTCTTATACAACATGAAAACAGATATCGACAGTGTATAGCAGCATTCTTATTACAAGCCCAAACGGAAAACAGCAAAGTATGTATCTTAATTTTGTAGGTTTTTGATTCTTCAGTTTCCATAAGGAAAAGTCTTCAAGTCTCTAAGTAATGGTGAATTGGAGAGTTCTGTGTATTTCCCTCCTTACCTTTGGGAAGGGGAGAAGTTGGGAGGAGGGGAGGGAGACATCCAGTCCATATCTTGCTGGAAACCTTAGTGTTAACAATTTCTCAAACTTACAGAGTTGACCCAGCCTCTCTCACTTCTCCCTGCTGCAGAAAGTCAAGAACTGCCTCTGAGTTACTATAGCAAATGGGAAAGAATGGCTTTGTATTGCACAATTAACTTTTAAGATGCTCTGATCAATTTCCAAAGTGTGGTTCCAGCTTCAGTGAAGGCCTGATGCAAGAATGCGCCATGTACAGTCTGCTCAATCTTTGAAAATGTGGCATTGCTTTTACAGCTATAGAATAAAAAGAGTAGCTGCCCAACCTGGTTTCTTTATCTTAGCAGTTTTTGTCTTTCCCCTGGTAGTCCTCCATCACAGCAACAATGTGGACAGACAATAAGTGCAATTATTTAATTATTAATTATTAAATTATTAATTAATAATGTTACATGACTTTCTTTTTGTTTTTGCTTGGTTTTTGAGATTAGGTCTTGCCATGTAGCCCAAGCTGATCTTGAACTTTCAATCCCACTGCCTTAGCCTCCTGAGTGCTGGGAGTACAGGCATGAACAACCACACCCAGCTTTTATTATTTTTAAATTTTGGGGGGGGTGGTACTTGGGCTTAAACTCACGGCTTCTTGCTTAAAGAGCAGGCACTCTACCACTTGAGTCATGCCTCCAATCCTTTTTGCTCTGGTTATTTTAGAGATAGGGTCTCACTTTTTATCAGACCAGCCTGTATCAGATCCTCCTAGGATGATGGGCACATGCACCACACCCAGCTTTTTTTCTGTTGAGGTGGGATCTGGCAAACTTTTTTGCCAGGGCTGGCCTATAACTGCAATCCTGATCTCAGCTATGTAGCTTGGGGTGACAGGTACGCACCACCATTCCCAGTTATTGATTGAGATGGGGTCTTCTGAACTCCCTGCCCCAGCTGATCTTGAACAATGATTCTCCCAATGTCAGCCTCCCAAGTAGCTAGGATTACAGGTGTGAGCCACTGGCACCCAGCTGCATTATTCTTAAAAATCAGTTGCCCGGGTTACCTCCCTCAGAGCATTTTTCAAATTATATTACTGGTTAAGAACTTCTGTTTCTTAATGGGAGTTCAAGAAATTCAACTTTCCATTTATTTATAATCCCAGTATTCATTTTTCTAATTAATCATCATTGACTACTAAGGTTCCTTGATTGCTCATGACTTTTTATCCAACTTGCACACCACGCTCATCTAATCCATTTGCATTTTCCTATTTGATTAGAGGTATTTATATTAGGTTTAAGAAAATGGGAAACATATGCAAAAGTTTTGTTAGTCTTCAATTTAAAGAACAAGCCAATAAAGATAATGGAAAATATTAATCCAAATATGTGAGAAATTACCAGTTTAAAATTCTAATTTGTATTTATATATATTTTTTTCTTTTTTCAACAGAAAGCATGGATGGTACAAATAACCACAGCAATCTCTGGCTTCACCAAGAGTCAGGAAACCAAGAAAATGTCTTTGTTCACACTGCCTGAAGAATCGTCTGAGATTTAGGGACCTAAAATAAGTATACACTTTTTTTAGATACTGGGGCATAAGGTATTCTTCCATTCAGACTTTCCTAACACTTATCAAGTGATGGGCTAGAAGGAAGTGTGCTTTTTTTTTTGTGGTACTGGGGTTTGAACTCAGGGCCTACCCCTTGAACCACTCCACCAGTCCTTTTTTGCAAAGGATTTTTACCAGAACTACTTGCTGGCTTCAAACTGTGATCCTCCTAATTTCTGCCTCCTGAGTAGCTTGGATTACAGGTGTGAGCCACTGGTGCCTGGCTAGAAATGTGCATTTTAAAGGCATTCCAGAACTTGAGAATTTGAGCCAGGAAAGTCTTTAGTGTAGGGGAACAATGACTACAACAAATTTGAACTCTGAGACATTTCTTGACAATGAATATTGATATCCACCCTATCTTCTAATGCTTCAGTCAGATTTGTTAAGAGATGCAAGTGAAGAATGGTGCTACTATAATTTGTAAATGGAGTATCAAGAAAGAAAATATCCACTGCTGTGTACAATATGAATTGTAGCATCTTACTCTGTATCTATAAAATAATGAAACCAATTTTCCTATCGCTTTTAAATCAGCCTTACTGCTTTATAATCCTACTTGCACACACAATGGTAATTTTGAAATAGTGTTTGATTGTTCTTTTAATATGCTAAGCAATAAATAAGGTCTATATTTAACAGTAATTTTAAATTTACTATTCTCCAACAGTCAGTTTGTTTATCTTAGGTATTTTTGTAATATTCTAACTTGAAAGTAGAAAACCCCAAAGACCAGATTATATTAAGAAAGAAAAAAACAAGTATCTATTCCACCACTTAGTATTTTTGCATCAGAGATGTTCACACAAATAGTAAGAATTCTTTCTCTAAACTTCAGTTTTTGGAGAATGATGACATTGCTCAAAAACATTTTCTGGATTTGAGTGGGGTGTGTGTGTGGTGTGTGTGTGCGTCTGTGTGTGTGTGTGTGTGTGTGTGTGTGTTACCACAGTGCCATCATTTAATATGGTATACTTTAAAAAATTGTTTTTTGTGGGAATAGGGATCAAGCCCAGGGCCTCACACATACTCAAGCTAGGCCCCAGTGGGATATACTATATACTATTAACAGAATATGAGTAGCCAGTTCTCAGGGTCAGACTCTATCAAATGCAAGTTCACAAACTTCAGTTTCAGGCACGGTACCTTTTGGAATCTCTTAAGTGGAAATTACAAATTTAGCAAATGGCTGCATGACAACTGAGGACTTAACCAGTTTCTTTGATTAAGATGGATCAGATCCAGAGGGTAACATCTGGGGAAAGTCATTCTTTGAGGTCACAAATGTCACCACATACACAAGGTAGTACAGACAGGGATAGCAGAAAGGCCCTTGGCCCTAACAGGGCCAAGCACTATTAGGATGGACAATTTCTTGTTTGTTTTAGTTTTTGCGGTTCTGGGGTTTGAAGTCAGTGCTTTGTGTTTTCTAGGCAAGTACTCTACCATGTGAGCCACATTCATTAGGAGTAAGAGACAATAAAGGAAAATCTAGAAAGCAATAACTATTGGTAAGAATAAATAGGGGAAAAGCAAAGAGGAGAATAGACTTCGAGTTCCCAAAGATGGTATCTGGATGGGACTGAAAGCCATTATGTCCAGAGGAAGACAATTTAGACATGTGTAAGATAAGATCAGGACATTTCTAGCTAAAATGATTATTTTTAGAAAAAAAAATCATCTTGTAGGGGTTTTCAACTACCAACCTCAGAGGGGAAAACGGACCAGGACTGGATGGTCTCAAGACTCCTTTAGTTCCATAAGTCCAGTAACCACACATTCATATGCAATCTCATTAGTGGGAAAGACTAAATTAATAAAAAGGATGTAAAATAGCTCAAGAATATGCCATACATAAACTTGAATTTTATAAAGATCACAAAATAATACCTGATATTACATGGAGGATATACACATCATACTCTTTAGAGGGAAGCATATCAAGATGAAGCAGGGGAAAAATTCTAGAAACCTAGTGCCCAGAAAATAAATAGCAAAAACTAATGACATACTGGGTCTTCAAAAAATATATTTAGGCCAGTTATGATGGTGTACACCTATAATCCCAGCTACTCATTAGGCAACAGGAGGATTGTCATTCCAAGCCAGGCTAGCACCCACCCACCCCCCCACATCCAAAAAATGTTACTGAGACCTTATTTTTAAAAACCCAAGCTGGGAATGTTAGTGTACACCTCTAATCTCAGCTACTGGGACAAAGGGAGAGGAAGTAGGAGGATGGCGTTCTGTCTCTGGCCCTGGGGCAAAAACATAAGACTCTATCTGAAATACAACCTAAAGCAAAAAAGGCTGGGGGTCTGGCTCATGTAGTAGAGTACTTGCCTAGCAAGAACCCCAGTAACAGTATCACCCCCCTCCACCAAAAAAAAACCATAGTATCTTTAGTTGGATGTGGAGATACATGCCTGTAATCCGAGCACTGGCAGAGGGCAGGAGGATAGAGAGTTTAAAGTCAGCCTGGGATATACAGTGAGACCCTGTCTCAAAAAAAAGAAAAGAAAAAAAGTATCTTTAAATGGTCATCTGGGTATTAAACTTACACAATAAAATGAGGACTTAATTTTATATTTTTATACTTTTTAGTTTTGTTTATCCCCCTCCACAATAGTGAATAGAGAGAAAAGGAAATGTCCAAAGCAAAATGGCATTAATAATTTTTCTTGAGCCAGGTGTGGTGGTGAATGAGGCAGGAGAATCATGAGTTTGAGGCCAGCTTGGGTTACATAGTGAGTCCCTGTCTCAAAAAAAAATTCTCTTGAGATCAGAAACTTAATTACTATCTTAAGTTTAACCACATTAAAATATAACCACTGTCTATATAAGTGAAAGTACAAAGCCCTAATATCCTCTAATTTAGTACAAAATAGTTAATAGCTTTCTCATTCTTTTTAAATAGACAAAATAATTTATAGTCATAGAATATCTTCTAGAAAGAAAAGTTTTAATATCATCTTTAACATATTAAAAAACAAAACAATTCAGTAAGGATCCTTCCATTTTTCTTTTTACATATTTAAATGCTGTCGAGATTTATCAGTCATATTTATAATTGATAACCTTCTAATCACTGAGGTTAGAAATTACAGTATTTACTGAGCTAAACTCTCTCACAAAATAAGGCACAACTACATGATCACAAGTAGTAAACACAATACAAATAATGACCCCAAAAACTGAATGAGGAAATACCCATGCAAAAGTCTATACAGAAGCTATGAAAATATGATCCAGTTCAAGGACATACAGAATGTCATATACACAACCACATTGTGTTGCAGGAAGGTCATTACTTCCACACAGAAAGAACTTAGTTATTTCCAATTCTATTTTGTACAATTTTACATCAATTTCCTAAGTTTATGCACAATATTCACATCTGCAACAAAACAAATTGATCATTAAAATTGAGGCAAAGGGCAATTAAGACAGTAATGTGTGGCACATTATAATCACAGAATAGCACTCACCAAGCTTATGCCCAGCAACACTAAATCAATGGCACGTTTAAATCTTATGGATCAAATCATCCATGGTTTTTATAGCCAAAGTGCATTTTAAAAAAACTGCGATAGTCAAACAGGTCATGAATATCAAAATATATGTAATCATAATTTGCTCTCCATTTAAAAGCTAAACATTCTTAGCAAATGCAAGGTTAAAAAAAGTGGCTTTAGAGATCTCAAAACTATATAAAATAATCATAAAGACTTTTTCAGAAAGATGGGAAAATAAATTTGGCAATTACTATTTAACATTACTGGAAGGAAACTATTAAACTTGCTAATTCCACTTGAAGAGGTAGTTGAAAAAAATGTTATTTGTATACTTCATTGAGGTTTTTGTGTGTCTCTTTCCTCTTTCTTGTAAAGGAACAAATCCTACATCAGCAGCTTTGCCTTCTTCCTATTAAAACAATTCTGTAGATACAGTTACTGTACACTAGCCCAACAAGACCTCATTTTAACTCATATTTCTGTGCTGGGTTTGCAATTCACTGACATTTCATGCTGATATGTTTTACATTGCAGCCATGAGCTGGGATTCCACATGTGCCAGTTCCAACTCACTGACAAAATAAAAGTGCCAGCAAACACCTAAAATGCATACCCAAAAGAACTTAGAAAAGGACTCTTTAAATTAAAAGTGAAGAAAACACTTTTTTTTTCCAATATACATTAAATTGCTGAGAGGTAATAGCAAAAATGTTTGGTTTCATTTATATTATCAGTATATTAGCCTATGGTACATAATTATTTGGGGCCTATGAAATGAACTTAGTTGGATGAAAACAAGAAAACCACCTAAACACACATGGTTTTATTTATTGTCCCCACAATTTTGCTGTGACTATTGAGGGGAGAGAGGTCAGGATCAGGAGAAGCTCTGTAAATTCATCATATCAGGAGATGAAGTGAGCAAACATTCTAATGCAAAGTTTTCACAAACTTTCATTATCTTAAAACAAAAACAGTGGTGCTGTGAATACCTGTCTCTTCAACACAGGTATTTGTGTTTATTAACACAATGTCTGTGTTTATTAAGCTATTTTTGTGTAAAAGTATAGAATTAGGACGTTTTGAAAGGATTAACACATCTATAAAATGCATAAATAGCTCAGTTTATATTAGACAGCTATAATATTTCATAAAGAGCAATTCCATTTCTTTATTATATATGATTAAGGACATACTGTTTATCCAAATCTGGGAACTTAGTCAGTGTCTTTAAGAGCTACTGTCAACAGGCTTGAATTAAATTTTTTAATACTTACATAATATCTATTAATTTCTTTTTAAAATACATCATAGCTATGGCACAAACATAACTTCATTTTAGCATGATATTTGAAAGTAAGTGTATATAATAAATTATTTATTACAAATGAAATATTAACTGTCAACCTTCTCTGCTTTTGTTATGAAATGACTGCACTGAGTGAATGTATAACTTTATATTTCTTCTCTAATAAACTAATATTACTGACTTCTGTCTTCAGATGTTTTCTAGTTTTCAAAATTAATAAGTCTATAAAAAATTAAAGCTTAATTCCATTATTCAGCATACAAATTATCCTTAAGGTGCTTTCTGTTTCAGTTTATGCTGTAACTATGGAGTTTCTAAGTGTATTTGTGCTGGGTGTTACTGTTCTCTAGCTGTTACTTAAAGGTAATTACACAGCATTACTTTTGCAAAGTTAAAAGATTTCCCAGTTCATATGGAACACCAATTCAGTAACATTTTAAGCCAGTTTTACAACTTTAAAAAATTCTTCCCTATCAGTTAAGAATAAAATATAAAGCAGAATGTTTAATGTTTTCATACCACTTTACCTTTTGTGTTCACAGATAAGACTATAGCAGTATCATTCCCATAGCTTTAAGATCCAAAATTACAAAACAATTATAGTGAAGCTGAGCTATGCTTGGAAAGATTAAAACAAATTTTAAGAAAGTAGATCCATTTTAAAAAAGCAAATTCAGATTCTAAAAGATGCTGGAGAGACAAAATAACATATAATATGGAACATAATCTCAGAAGACTTCCCAGCAATAAGAAAACGAGAATAGGACCATTATAAATTTCTACTACTCATCCTGAAACTGAGGGATAGAGTAGGAAGTTCTAGAGGCTTTCTGAGGGACAATACGTGGGAGTTTAAAAATGAGATAGAAGAACAACAGAAAAGGAATTAACTCTAATCTTTGAAATACAACCTTAGGATGACCGTAAAGTAAACTGATTTTACAGAGGTTTTCAAAAAATCTACAGAGGAATTTAATACTATTAAAACAAAAACCATGTTTGAATCCATAGTTGATAAATATTTTAACATAAACTGCATGTAGAATATCCAAGCAGTAAATCTGTAACATAACAATGTAACTGAGCTATAGTCCTGTACATAAGAGAAAACGATAGTCAGAAGAGTGTTATAGTACTGTGCATGACTCTATAAAGATAATATTTAATATAATTAATGTGTTATTGTGCAACAAAAACAGCAACACATGATAACAACACCATATACATTTCTGTACATATAATTTGGGAGAAAGAAGTAAGCTGTGGAATTGTATTCATCATTTGTGAACACTGAAATTATATTTAAAAAAATACATTGCTATTTTCTTTCCAAAGTTTATTTACATTTCATTGGCTAATTCTGAACTTGGCATGAAAATTGTTCTAGGGATTAAATGGAAAAAAATAATGAAATATGAACTCAAGTCTCACAAAAATAGAAGAGTTTTACTTGATACTTGTAACATTCCAAAATATACGAATTCTAAGTTGGTCTAGTATGCAACCAGAACCAGAGTCCAAATCAAAGAGTAGTCCAAGACCTCTATTAAGCACATTTATTAAAAATCTAATGTTAGTGTAATATCACTTTGAAGTTGTGATAACCTGTTATCCTTGCAAGTCATTGAAGCATGCATCACAGACACGAACAGGCTTCTTGGAAGAAGGAGTTAAGGCATTTTTGGCTGAACACTCAGCACAGAAGATATTTCCACACTGTCGACAGTGATGCTGAAAAGATAAAAAAATAAAACAACTTCAAGCATAAAAACTATACCAAGAGCATTATAAAGCTATATGAATAGCTCAAACTACATTGTGAAAGTATACTAACTTCCCAGTTATTACTTAATGATATTAAATTATGTTAATTTCATCCTTTCTTATATTAAATTGAATACGTCCTGTTTATAAAACACTATGTTAAACATTTAAGATGGCTTTTATTAGGAATACAAATAGGTAAAGAAACTGTCAAAATATCCCTATTTGCAGACGACATGATCCTATACCTTAAAGACCCAAAAAACTCTACTCAGAAGCTTCTAGACATCATCAATAGCTATAGCAAGGTAGCAGGATATAAAATCAACATAGAAAAATCATTAGCATTTCTATACACTAACAATGAGCAAACTGAAAAAGAATGTATGAAAACAATTCCATTTACAATAGCCTCAAAAAAAATCAAATACCTAGGTGTAAACCTAACAAAAGATGTGAAAGACCTCTACAAGGAAAACTATACACTTCTGAAGAAAGAGATTGAGGAAGACTATAGAAAGTGGAGAGATCTCCCATGCTCATGGATTGGTAGAATCAACATAGTAAAAATGTCGATACTCCCTAAAGTAATCTACATGTTTAATGCAATTCCCATCAAAATTCCAATGACATTCATTAAAGAGATTGAAAAATCTACTGTTAAATTTATATGGAAACACAAGAGGCCACGAATAGCCAAGGCAATACTCAGTCAAAAGAACAATGCAGGAGGTATCACAATACCTGACTTCAAACTATTTTACAAAGCAATAACAATAAAAACAGCATGGTACTGGCACAAAAACAGACATGAAGACCAGTGGAACAGAATAGAGGACCCAGATATGAAGCCACACAACTATAACCAACTTGTCTTTGACAAAGGAGCTAAAAATACACAATGGAGAAATAGCAGCCTCTTCAACAAAAACTGCTGGGAAAACTGGTTAGCAGTCTGCAAAAAACTGAAACTAGATCCATGTATATCACCCTATACCAAGATTAACTCAAAATGGATCAAGGATCTTAATATCAGACCCAAACTCTAAAGTTGATACAGGAAAGAGTAGGAAATACTCTGGAGTTAGTAGGTATAGGTAAGAACTTTCTCAATGAAACCCCAGCAGCACAGCAACTAAGAGATAGCATAGATAAATGGGACCTCATAAAGCTAAAAAGCTTCTGTTCATCAAAAGAAATGGTCTCTAAACTGAAGAGAACACCCACAGAGTGGGAGAAAATATTTGCCAACTATACATCAGACAAAGGACTGATAACCAGAATATATAGGGAACTTAAAAAACTAAATTCTCCCAAAACTAATGAACCAATAAAGAAATGGGCAAGTGAACTAAACAGAACTTTCTCAAAAGAAGAAATTCAAATGGCCAAAAAACATGAAAAAATGCTCACCATCTCTAGCAATAAAGGAAATGCAAATTAAAACCACACTAAGATTCCACCTCACCCCTGTTAGAATAGCCATCATCAGCAACACCACCAACAACAGGTGTTGGCGAGGATGCGGGGAAAAAGGAACCCTCTTACACTGTTGGTGGGAATGTAGACTAGTACAACCACTCTGGAAAAAAATTTGGAGGCTACTTAAAAAGCTAGACATCGATCTACCATTTGATCCAGCAATACCACTCTTGGGGATATACCCAAAAGACTGTGACACAGGTTACTCCAGAGGCACCTGCACACCCATGTTTATTGCGGCACTATTCACAATAGCCAAGTTATGGAAACAGCCAAGATGCCCCACCACTGACGAATGGATTAAGAAAATGTGGTATCTATACACAATGGAATTTTATGCAGCCATGAAGAAGAACGAAATGTTATCATTCGCTGGTAAATGGATGGAATTGGAGAACATCATTCTGAGTGAGGTTAGCCTGGCCCAAAAGACCAAAAATCGTATGTTCTCCCTCATATGTGGACATTAGATCAAGGGCAAACACAACAATGGGATTAGACTATGAGCACATGATAAAAGCGAGAGCACACAAGGGAGGGGTGAGGATAGGTAAGACACCTAAAAAATTAGCTAGCATTTGTTGCCCTTAATGCAGAGAAACTAAAGCAGATACCTTAAAGCAACTGAGGCCAATAGGAAAAGGGGACCAGGAACTAGAGAAAAGGTTAGTTCAAAAAGAATTAACCTAGAAGGTAACACCCACGCACAGGAAATCAATGTGAGTCAATACCCTGTATAGCTATCCTTATCTCAACCAGCAAAAACCCTTGTCCCTTCCTGTTATTGCTTATACTCTCTCTACAACAAAATTAGAAATAAGGGCAAAATAGTTTCTGCTGGGTATTGAGGGGGTGGGGGGGAGAGGGAGGGGGTGGAGTGGGTGGTAAGGAGGGGGTGGGGGCAGGGGGGAGAAATGTACCAAGCCTTGTATGCACATATGAATAATAAAAGGAAAAAAAACAAAAGATGGCTTTTATTGTATATTGGAATTCTAAAAGAGAATGTTACAAGTGTTAAAGCACCCAATTAAATAAAAAACTGTTAAAAAGTGTTAAAGCACTCAAGTAAATAAAAAACTGTTCCTATTCACCAAAAGTTTCCATTGAAATTTAAATATGATAGCATTGCTTAAAATTGATTTTAAAGCTCTCTGCTTTTTCTTCTTTTAACAGAACCCAAGTGTTAACTAAAACACAAGAGTTTAATACTAGCAAACTAGTTCAGAAAATGACTGTCCCAGAGAAGAATGCAGTAGGAAAGAAATGACTAAATTTCAAACTAAAATTCAAACACATATGCTAACTAGAAACTGGATTGTAATTAAGCTTAATTAGTCTATGCATTTGTAACCAGTAAATAGAAAAATTTTTAAATCTGTGAAATGCAGAACTTTTTGATGGTTAAAACATTAATTCAGATCCAGAAAGATAGCTCTACGAACAAAGTCATTTACCCGTCTCACTGTGACCGAAAAGCCTTTCCCACAGGCCATACAGTTTTGTACTTCATTGTCTTCAGCCCACTTTCTGTTCAATGCTTGTGTATGTTTGATCTATTAAAAAAAGTTTCAATACATGACAATATTCAACATTTTAGAGAATCATGGATTATATCTAATTTGGTAGCAGATATTTACAAATTTTTGACTATATTTGACATGGAATAAAAATTCAAAACTCAGAAATGCTTTGGTCAACATCCAGTTTTCAAAAATAGCTACATTCATAAATTTGAATGAAAAAATAAATTACATTTGCTCCTCAGAGGCACTATTAACATTTAACCTTTTTTGACTTCTCATCTGTTCTAAACCTGATCACTACTTCCTTGGGACCCTGAGAACATCCTGAGATCACTTCTTTAACATCTCCAACTTATCTATTCCTTGGTATTCTTGAATTTTGTAATTCCTTCCCCATCTATACTGCCAATTCATGAATGACATGGCTCTCAAACTAATCCCTGATATCTCTGAACTAGTTCTTTATCTTTTATACTTAACTACCCATAAAACCTATAATGTTGCTCTTCAAGACAGTAGCTATTTGAAAATACCTATTAAACATATGAGTTTTTGTTGATGTTGTGCTTGCTTATTTTGCAGTGCTGGAGATAGAACCCAGGGTCTTGTACCTGCTAAGCAAATAGCCTTCCACTGAGCTACTCCCTCCAGTCCTGGAGGTTTTAATTAAAAAGTGAAAATACACTTTTCCTTAAGAGGTCAAGTCTAGACTAAGAAACTGCCTCACATCATTGGTGGCTTACCTGAAGGGACTGGTTTTCTCTGCCTAGCTCCTGCACTGCTGCAGTTGTATTATCCAGCTTTCTTTGCAGTTCTAGTACTTTGGTCTGAAGCTTTTCTATTTCTCCTTCTCCTTTAAGACATCTGGAATAGAATGCAAAGAGATAATTTAAATAAACTATTAAAGGCCCTTCTAGAATATAGGTGATGGACTACTTTGATAATTTTAAATAGAATACACTGATTTCAACTATCTAATTATTTAAAGGTTAATTTTTAAATACCTACTTACATACCTGCAAGGGTTACCTACTTTTCTCAATTCTTCCTCTATTGTAAAGTTGTGGAATATGACAATCTTTTTATCACTTAGAATAGGTATAAATTAATTTTACTAGACATCAATCACCTTTCTAGTAGTGCTCTTCTTTCATCTTGATTATTCTGAACTGTTGCTTCTAAGACTGCGACTTCACCCCGTAAGTCATCCGTTTGTTTCTCGAGCTCACTAACTCTCCGTTGACTAGACTGCCACTCCTTCTTTACAGTGCCTAAGTTTTCATTTAATGCTGTTATCTGCATGGTAAGTTTAGCTTCATTTTCTTCATGTTTCTTCATTCCTACTTCCTTTTCTTTTATTTCAGAATGCTAAGAAAAGAAAGGGGGGGGTTACTACAAAAGTAGTGAAAAATAAAGTTATTTATTGCAGTTAAAATATTAAAAATATACATAATAACTGCTTCTTCTGGAAAGGATGCAAGAGAATATATTTCATCATATACTAATAAAACTTATCCACAAATACCTATGCTTTTTAATTTAAGTGGACTCAAATGTCATAATGTAGAAACAATGGTTAGCAAGGGTCTCAAGATCAAGGTAAAGTGACATGACTTGAAAGTCTTATTGTTTCCACAACAGCAAGGGAAGAAAGACATGCAAGGTTAGGAGAACAAGACATCCTAGAGACAAACCTGGCATTTTCTTACATCTCTCAATACATTCTTCAGTCTCTAGCAACCACTAAAAACCACAATACAAGCCCTTAAGGTCACTGTTTGGACTTAACAGTCAAGTTACCCGAGGACATTTGGAGTTAATTCAATTAAATGACCCAGATGCTTCACACTGGGCATGCACACAGAGGGAAGGGAAAGCTGACTTTAGTTATCATAATTCCAAATCCCCTTATCAATATTCACTTTGACCAAAACAAATGAGTACAGCATGACAGCTTTCACAGCACTTGCCTCAATCTATATGGTTGTGGGCTTGTTTATTTGTTTCTGGCACTAAAAATATTTTAAATTATATTTTAATTGGACTTTCACTTCTATAAACCAAAATATGATTGCAGAATAAAATATTTATAATCACATCAGTTACTGAAGCAAATCAGATTTCCTCTCTGAAAAACTAACATGTTAAGAAAACATCTCAAAGATAACATCTACGTAGAAAAATCCTCTCACTGGATTGAGTTAAAGCTCTATTACAAAATACACTTTTCAGCAATAACTCACTGACCAGTTTAGCTTCTTTCTCAACAAATTCTTTCTTCAGTTCATCTTCTTCCTTTTTCACCTGCTCTTTTAGTATCTGCTGGTTTCTCTTTTCCTGTTCAAGAGTTGCCTTCAGGGAGTCTATTTTTCCTTGAAGTTCTAATTTCTGCTGAATCAAAAGCTGTTTGGCATCCTTAAGATTTGTTAACTCCTGTTGGAAAAGGCAAAATATAAGTCATTCTTAAGAGCAAATATTTTAAAAGATAGGTGAAATTCATGCAATTTACCACCATAAGAGATATGAGTTTTACCCACTTGTGAGATTAAGTTCAGTATTTCCAACAACTGGTTACAATGAAACCCTCTCCTTGTAGTATTAAAGTATGCTAATAAAAATATTTTAAAAGTTGGTGAAAAAGATTATTTACTTCCTACTCATTAATCATTCAATTCAGATGATGCTACTTGGCATGCACACACTTTCGTTATATTATGCGAAAAGAGTTTCTACCCCCTACTTTCCCTTTTCTCACTTAACAAGAACATACGGGTCATCATAGATTGTGTTAGGTTCTGAGGATATAATGAAATACATACATTCCCTGCTTTAAAGAAATCACATTCTGAAGGAATGCAAGGAAATGAAATCACTTAGGATGTTAGGTAACAAATATAAAGGGTATTTTGAAGGATCTCAAGAGAGAATCTAACCTTTCTCTAAGAAATTGTATATGATTTTACAAGGCAAATGAGAAACAGTTTCTTCAGCTGACAGCCTACACATGACTATATCAGGATGAAATGTTAAAAACAAGAGATAATTAATGGTTTTTAAAAAGAAAAATAATTGAGTCCCCTTAAAATGTTAATTCTAAATTCTTGTGTATTTTTTAAAGATTTTTATCTCTAAGCATAATTTTTTAAATCAAAATCAATTATAATGAAATTTAAATATTTAGGGTTCCTCTGCTTTATTCAGTAATCTGAAAACAAAAGTAACACAGCTTCAATATCTGAATACATACCATGTAATAATACAAGAGCACTCTGGCAAAAGTATTTGTCAAAAACAACAAAATAATTTGCCTATCACTTAGTGGGTTCTCTTTCTCAATCTCGCTAATATATTCTTATATTTATATATAAATTTAATAAAAATACAGCATAGAAGACAGGAAAATTACTATCTTAACCTACCTTTACACTTTCTTGTTTGTGAGACTTGAGTTCTTCACTTAGCTTAGTGATTTCCTTTTCTTGTCTACACTTAATTTCCTCTATCTCTGCCAATTTAGATTTTTCATTCATTAATTCTTTTTCTTTCATTGACTGTAGAAAAACAATGATTACAAATGATTTTACAAATAGGTACAGTGTGTTGAGGGGTAATTGTGGGAGAGGAGAGGGTGAATAAAGGAGATTAAGGAGGCTATATGGTGGATGAACTTCATATACTTATGTGAAATAGAATAAAGAAATCTCTTGTAAATGCTTTAAGTGGGGTGGGGAGGGGTAGAGGAAGAGAAACAGTGAGGGTGATCTAACAATATAAGCCTATTTGGAACTGTCACAATGAATCCTCCCTGTACAATGAATATATCCTCATAAAAAATTAAAAAGGGAAAAATAATTTTATAGCAAACACAACTGAAAATTAGTGTAATAAAAATGCTACCAGTATTTATGACACTGGTTCTGTCTCTATTTAATTTGAGCAAATTATATACCTTTTTTGCCTTTTTCTCTTAATAATATCATTATAAGGCCTAGATAGTTAGAGTTAATACTGTGAAATAAACAGTGCCTAGCCAAAGTAAGAATACTATAAAATTTAGTCAAAACTACCATTTTTATTCTAACTCCTATTACTATTACTTTCTTTATGTAAGATGCCATCTGAAGCATTATATATTATCTCATTTAATCACCACAGTAGGTAGAGTTTTCAATCCCCATTTTAAAAGTAAAGGAGAAAGGTTTAAGAGAAATTAAATAATTTATTACAGGTAAAGCTAACACAAAAGATGTGTCTGATCTAAAACCTCTGCAATTAAACACCTATAAACTATAGTTCTATCAGAACTTTCTAAACCTAAGACATAAATTGTGAATTTCTCATCCTAACAAAAAAAACCATTTTTTTTAATTAAAGAGAATTTCAAGAATTGTACAATTTGGACTATACCTAGAACTTCAGGAAGTACAATACTTCAGAATAATTGTCTGATAGGAATATAAAATTTCAAACATTAAACAAAAACAAAATGTTTCCTAGAATCTGAATTTTTTTAAAATATATTTTAAGTGATATAAACTAGTGCTTTTAACTTTATAACTTAGTATCATTTATGTAAAATATACCCCTATAAACCATATAAACCAGTGCTTTTAACTTTAAAACTTAGTATCATTTATGTAAAATATACCCCTACATTCCCTTAGTAAAAGCCAACTCTAGTTTTAAGAATTTTTAACAAGGTTACAAATTATTTTAGACTTTTTATTATCTCATTCATACATCTAGAGGATAACATGTTATATAAGAACTAGTGGAGAGGCAATTTCTGTTCTCAAATAGCCAAGGGTCTATGGTGCGAAAAATAGTTGTTTGTAAAACTACAAAGAGCAATAAGAAATGGGTAAACATGACAAGGAAGTGATTAAGAGATATTTCTTAGCTTAAAAATTCCAATGATCAAAAATGCTTTAGTATATCCTAGAGGTCCTTCTGAAAGATCTGTTGAAAAATTGGTGATACCTGTATTGGGTGAAACAGTCAACTGGATGATTGTTAAAGCCACACTGCACTCTGTGAGTTTGGATTTAAGTGAGAGAAATGAAGTACCTTTTCTTTCTGAATATCTTGTAGTACTTTACTCTGCTCCTTCAGCTGTTGTTCTTTCTTTGCTGAATCTTGCTCCAAAGTAGATTTTGCAGTCTTCAATTCTTGAATCAACTTATTTTGGTTTCCAATTTGATTTCTGTTTGAAATCAAGTCTTCCTGTGCTAGAGAAAGCTTCTCTTCTACAGACTTACAAAAACAATTTCCTCAAATTACTATGTCATTTTTAGCAAAATTCAACAGAAATATAACAGCTAATACAAGCACTATGGAAAACAACACACAGACAGTAAGGACATGTTCTGACCATCCTTGCCAGCAGATTTTTCATGTGAATATCAAAACATGTAATTACACAAACCTAGACAGTACAGCCTATGCCATGCCTGAACTATATGGTACAGACTGTTGCTACAGGCTACAAACCTGTACAGCATGTTAAAGCACTAAGTACTATAATAGGTTGGTGAATATTTGTGTGTCTAAACATATGTAAACATTGAAAAGTCCAATGAAAATACAGGATAACAGGATTTTTTCAGCTCCTTTTTATGAGACTATCACTGTATATGTGATCTGTTGCTAACCGAAATGTCATTATATAGTTAAGGCTCTACTATAAAAAGATGGCAAGTGAAATAAGGTCATATAAAGAGAAAAAATTCTAGAATGTGAGCTCTAATGGTGGTATAAACAAAGCCATTGCTAAAACAAATAGGAAATTAGGCAATTGAAAGAGACACTTAGCACATGCTTATAGAAAATGTTAATTGTATAAAATATTTGTAAAAACTGAAGTAACTCTAAAAACTTGTAGATAATTTAAAACGATCAACTGAATGCTTGCTTATTCCTATCTTTAATATTGACTAGGTTATATGAAGGAATACCAAATAAGTAGGAAAATGTTATATGATTAGAGAAAAGACCAGGCAAGACAGGAAAGAAAACAATTTAAAAGAAGTACAGTTAAATGCTACATTATATATACATCCTGTAGAATCCATGATGGCCCTTGACATGTTGAACACCTTAATAAGAAGGGGTTTTTGTCTTCAAGAAAAATAGTGATATTTCACAGCTGTCAATCTGATCAAGTGAATTTAAAGAAAAAAATTCAGCCAAACATCTGAGGCTCTATCCTGAAAAGTGATGTCAGTTAACACAACCCATAGTAATTAACTGTTCTAAAGACTCAATGCTTTGAGAAGCTGAAGTTGGGGAAAGGGCAAGACTTTTGCCTACTTGGTTTCATTATTTTTTTGCTTTCGCTGATACGGTAACAGGCAGATAATGGTAATAACAGGAACTCTGCCACTCTCAGCTGTTTTTGCTAAGAATCATCAGGGAGTCAGAACCAACTCTAAGATGCTCTTCCACCAAACTTGGAAGAAGCAGATCTTTCTTACTCTGGAGATACAGTTCCTTTGAAAAGGAGGCAGAAAATATAATTCAGGAAAGGGTCCCTGCTGGTTAGGACAGTATATCGTAAGTATTCAATAAAGAAAGAAGAAAGGAAGGAAGGACGAGAGGGAGGAAGAGAGGGAAGCAGGGAGGAGGAAAGGAGGGAGTATATTCCTTACCAACAACCCAGTTTAGAACTCTTTCTTTTACAAATTAAATTTTATTGTTTAAGGACGGCCAGTACAACACTATCCCCCTTAAGGCTTATTTTTTTCAGGTGAGACCTAAAATCCCATTGAGTTCTTCTTCTTTTTTATTAACCTGTAGCAAACCATTAATTAAGTACACTGCTAAGATAAAACAGGAGGGTAATAAGATTGTCCTTAACTTACAGGAGTTCACCAGGTACCCTGAAAAACAGAATAGGTGATGTAAAGTAAGAGCTGGACAGGGTAGTAGAGTACCTGCTAGGTACCAAAAGCACAGAAAGCTTACTGTGACAGCCTTTGCAGAATGTGGTTTACAGAAGGCTCCAGGGTACGTGCAGCAACTGACCTATTTGTTACATAGGGTAATCTAGTATTAAAGAATACCAAGATTTGCTAAAGCCTGAAAAGCAATAGTACCCCTATGAATTCCACAAGAACTCCAAAAATGTCCACAAAATTGATGAGTCCTCGTAATTTCTAAAAATTTTAACTGATGGCCTATAACATTTTAAATTTAGCCTGCTCCATGAATTCCTTTATGAAGAAGCCAAGACATATTGCTCTGTCTTGCCTCTGAAAATTCATTTCTATTATTCCATCCTTTCCTGCCATGCATTTTAAATGTTCTTTTTATCTTTCTTGTTGTAGACCATGTTATCTTCTCTAGTCAGCATCTCTTCCCACACAGCATAACCAATTTGAAATATCCAGTCAACAAACTTAAGTATTTCATAAATGGTCCAGCAGAGGGAGCTAACAGTATAGATCAGGCCAGGATGTCTTCCATCCTACTGGTGTTAAGTATAGTATTTTTAGCTCATGGTGCACACTGTCAGCCCACAGTAAAAAGCCTTGATATAGGTAGGAGTCACATTACAAAACGTTCTGAATCTCTCCCCTTCTCTCTTATACACAGATCACATAACATCAATAAACAAAAGGAAAATGCTGGTTGATAACCATCTCTCATTCTGGTCCATAAATATCATTTGAACTTCCCTAGGAATGTACTCTCTTTCAAAAAAACAATTTCCTAAGTAGTTCATATACTTCTCATTATACAAGCATTAATATAGAATTTATAAATCATTTATATTGTAAAAAATATTCTAGTGAAATGGCAGCAAAAGAATAGAGACTTTGAGTAAGAACTGATATCTAACCATGATTTATTCTCTTGATGTGCCACACTGGGCTGCCTTCCGCCAAGAGAAGCTTGAGAACAGAAGAGCCATCCAAGTCATCTTAGTTGTACAACTCTATGGCACCTTCATCCCTCTCCTTTCTCTTTTGGCTCGTAGCTTTCAAGCATAATTATTTTTGGATTACTGAAAGAATATTGATTTAAGAGCTATAAATCCAATTACTAGGCTATACTCTAGGTAAGTGATATATCCATATGAAGAGTATGATTTCCACAGAACTTTTACAATCAACCATTAAATTTCACCCCTTCTATCACTTAACTACATCATCTTGCACTTGGACTACAGTAAAACCTCCTCACCAGTCTCTACATTTCAGCCCTGTTCTCCTGTAACCCCTTTGTGATTCTGCAGTCAGTCATTTGCTCAAAATACAAATCTAGGCAACTTCCTTCAGTGGTTCCTCATTGCCTTTATGTTAAATCTAAACTCCTCCACAAACCTTCCCTGCCTTTTGACAGTATTATAAAGAAAACAGCAATTATAATAATAATTTGACACTATCTAAATGTCATGTGGTATTTTTTCTTATAAATACATTTTCTTCCTAATTATGAAATATTTTTGTTTTGTTTATTGAAACAGGGTTTCACTATGTAGCTCAGGCTAGACTTGAACTCATGATCCTCCTGCCTCATTCTGCCCAATACTGAGCTCTCAAATGTGTACTATCATGCCCAGCTTAATTTTGGTATCTCTTTTTCTTTATCTCTCTCTCTTGCTCATTTCTCATACATATATATATATATATATATATATACACACACACACACACTTACACCACTACACCACAAACACACATATATATTACTAGCACTATGAAAATTCTTTTACTCAATCTTCTATTTCTGTGTCAAATGTTAATCACTATTTTCCCTTTTAGCCTGCTATATATTCAGCCCCTTGTTTCATCTCTTTCTCCCCATTAGTCTCTTCTATTTTATCCTTTTTTTTTCAAGTGCTCTACCATTTAAGCCATACCTCCAGCCCCATCCTCTTTAATTTTAATTCTAGTTCTAATCACCACACAACTTCCCAAAAGAAAGGAAGATAATATTGCAACTAATTTCCCTAGGACTAGTCAGTCCAAGCCTCTTTAAACCATTATAGGCTAAGTTCCTAAAAGAATATTTTCTTCATTTTACTCTTCTGCTTAGACACTTCACTCTTCCCCTCAAAAATCAAATCCAATTGCCTTTGCAAGGCACCTAAAATACTTTACAATTTAGATCCTACCTTTTAAATCTAAATTTCATAGATAAACTAGCACTCCAGCAAGACAACTGTATTAACTGTGCCCTGGCTTTACTTATAACCACTGTAGCACCTTTTCTCAAATGTGTCCCCAAATGAAATGAGCCTTCCCAGGACACTCTGCATATTCCAATGCTACACATCCTTCAGGACCTAATCAAGTCCTATCTCCTTCTAAAAGCCTTCCCCACAAAGAAAATATATGATATATGCATTATAGATAATAAACTTTTATAACATTCTGATTTAACAGAATTTTGCAATAATACACTTTAAATAAACAATTAAAATCTCAAACATAGGAAAGAAACAGGAAAGCATGATACTTCAACTTATCAAAATGAGAACGATGGAGAGAGGAAAGAGAGGGAGAGGAAGGAAAGAGGCTAGTTGAATTTTCTGTGAAAGAATATAAAAATGTCCCATTTCCCTTACAAAACAGATACTTTAATGTTTTACAAAAATTGTTCACCCTTTTCCATATCCTTCATTTTAATAAGCATAAAACTTTATCATGGACAAAATAATATCCAATGATAAAAATTGCTATACATTGTTAGATAATTAAGGTTAAGTTTAATTTGAGCTATAATCTCTTAAATTTAATCATTAGGCATTCCAATAATCTTAGAAAGCTGACAAATTATATAAAACTAAAATTGGTATTGCCTGACAAGCAACAGTAAAATTGCTTGCATTTTTCCACAAGTGGCTTTATATTTAATTTTAGATTTTTCTAATAACAGCCCATCTTTGAAGTTATTTTCAAATAAAGGCCCTCAAATCCTTAGATAAACTAAAACTGTGACAACTGATGTGTCCAAATTATTTCACTAATACAGATATAACTTACTTTAAAATACCCATATTTATGTATATCAATTTTTATTATACAAAATAACTTAATTTTTAAAGCATGTTAATCTAATAATAATTTAATAGAAAACAGTACGATGTTCCACAAATATTAACATTCCTTTGCCCATTTAGGCTCAAATAACTCATTCAATGAATGTGTATAAACAACTTACTGAACTTTATAACATAGTACAGTTTACCTTCAGATCTTGCCTTGTGGCTAGAAGTTCAGATTCCTTCCCATAGAAATCAGATTGAAGCTGTTTTAGATCTTCCTGACATTTTTCATAGGTGTTTTGTAACACTGATACTTTTTCTTTCTCTGCTGAAAGTTCCTGGGCTGCCTGTGCTAACTGTTGCTGTAGTTTGTTCTCAAGTTCTGTCTAAAACATACAGTAGTTATTTAAAACAATGCGTACAAAAAACTACTTACAAGTAAAAACTGAAACACATATTAATATTTCTGAAAACAAGATGAAATGCATTTATGCTATAACATTTTACTTCAATGAAGAGTAACTTACTTTATATATATAAAGAGTTACAAATTCAAGTTTCAATTTAAAAACCATAAAGTGCAAAAGCAATCAAATGAAGAAAAATTGCATTTTACTGGGAAGTACTATCTGATCTCAGGAGACAGAGTAACAACTATGTTCTGATAGAAGATGCTGTGCTAGATTTCATAGGTAATATATTTTAGGGTTAAACTAAAGGAAACTTCTACATGATAAAAATTATGAAACCATTACTATGGCATATTGACATATGCAGTTTCTACTCTTGGAAATTCAAAATAACTTAATAAATTTTATAGGTCATCTATATTAATATCACGGCAAAAAAAAAAAACTCACAAAGGTCCAAATTGCTATTGACTCAACTAGTCATTAATGTTTAAGAAGATCTGGAACACTTGCATGAATTATAACAAAATCAAAGTACACTCATGTGCATAATGTGAAAAATAAACTTGAATTTTAAAATAAATACACTATCTACCACAGAAGTAGAGAGTAGAATAGTGGTCACTAAAGGCTAGGAAGGGTAGGGATAAAAAGAGGATAAAAGGGGTTGGATAATGAGTAACAAAATAGATAGGAGGAATACATTCTAGTGTTCTACAGCACAGCAAGGTGACTACAGTTTAAAACAATTTGTTATGTATTTTATAAAGAACTAGAGGAACTGAGCATGTCTATAATCCCAGAACTTGTGAGGCTGAGGCAGGAGGATTCAGAGTTTAAGGCCAGCCTGGACTACATAGCAGACCCTGTCTTAAACAAGCAAACAAATAAAAAGAACTAGAATGGAAGAGTTCAAAGGTTCCCAACACAAGGAACTAATAAATATATAATGAGATAGAAATACTAATTACTCTAATTTGGTCATTAAACATTGTATGGAAAGGTGGGGCAAGATAGCAGATTAGAAGCATCCTCCATTTTGACTCCATGAGGGAGAAAAGTCAGGTAGCACGGGTCAGACAATATTCTGAAGAGAGGAAGAGCATTAAAAATTACAAAAGAAGTAGCACAGGAGCAGAAAAGCAAACTTATCAGAATAATAGCAGATTTTTCAACAGAAACTCCTGTAAAAGCCAGGAGGGAATGGAATAATATACTCCAAATCTGAAAGAAAATAACTGTCAACCTAGATTAATGTATCCAGTAAAGCTAGCTTCATAATTGAAGGAGAAACAAAAACCTTCCACAATAAACAAAAACTGAAGGAATTCATAACCACTAAACCAGTACTGCCTAAGATATGTGAATCCTACATATAGAAAGGAAGATAAATGCAAACAGGAAAACTCAAGAAAGAAAAAATTCCACTAGACAAGTAGATTAGCAAATGAGGATTATGAAAGCAGCAAACATCACAAAAACAACAAAGTGGCAGGAAATACTAAGTAACTTTCAATATTAATTGAATGTTAATGGTCTCAATTCTTCAATCAAAAGGTAGAGTGGTGGACTGGACTAAAAAGCAAGACTTTTTGTTGTTGTGTGCAAAAACTCATTTCATTGACAAAGACAAACATTGGCTTAGGTTGAAAGAATGGAAAAAGATTTCCGCAACAAATGGATGTCGAAAACAGGCAGGAAAGGTATAACCCATATCTGATAAAATAGACTTGAGCCCAAAATTACTAAGAAGAGACAAAGAAAGTTCAAATTAACAAAGGGAACAATCTATCAATATGAAATAACAATTGTGAGCACATATTCACTCCAATTTCACACAATGACACATCCAATTTCATTAAACAAACACTACTGGTTTAGAAGCACAGATAGACTCCAACATAATAATGGTGGGAGACTTCAATACAACACTCAAAACAACAGATAAGTCATCCAGACCCCCACAAAAAAAATCAACAAAGAAACTTGAGTATTAAATGGCACTATAGACCAAATGGACTTAATAGACATCTATAGAATATTTCAAACAGCAGCTGCACAAGACATATATCTCTCAGAAGCCCATGGAATGTTCTCCAAAAAAGATCATATTTTAGGACATAAAACAAATTTTACAAATAAAACAAAACTGAAATAATTCCCTGTATTCTATCAGACAACAATAAAATAAAACTAGAAGTCAACAACAAAAGAAAATATTCAAATACCTGGAGACTGAACAGTATGCTACTGAATGACCAGTGTATCATCAGAGATAAGGGGGGGAAATAAAAATTTCCCAGAACCTAATGAAAATGAAAACACAATTTATCAGAACCTCTAGGGCACAGCAAAGGCAGTACCAAATGAAAGTTTATAGGTATCAGTGCCTACATCAAAAACACAGAGATCTCAAATAAATTGCCTAATGATGTACCTAAAGCTTGTATAAAAAGAAGAATAACCCAAACTCAAAATTAGTAAAAGGAAAGAAATAAAGATTAGGGTAGAAACTAATGAAATGAACACTAAAAAAATACAAAGAATCAATAAAACAAAGAGTTGGTTCTATGAAGAAATAAGTAAGATTGACGAATCCTTAGCCAAATTCAAAAGAAGGAGAGAAAAGACCCAAATAAATAAAAGTAGAGATTAAAAAGTAGATAACAGAACAAATACCAATGAAATGCAGAGGATCATTAGGAAATATTTTTAAAACTTATATTCTAATAAGCTGGAAAACCTAGAAGAAATGGATAAATGTCTAGATGCATTTGACCTATAAAAATTGAACCAAGAAGATATAAATCACCCGAACAGATTTATAACAAGCAGTGAGATCAAAGCAGTAATAAGGAGTCTCCCAACAAAGAACAAACCAGTACTGGATAGATTCTACCAGCACTTTAAAAAAGAACACCAATGCTTCTCAAACTATTCCATAAAATAAAAAGTGAAGAAATGCTACCAAACTCATTCTGTGAAGACTGTATTATCCTGACATCAAAACCAGATAAAGACACAACAAAAAAAGAGAAAATGATAGATTGATTTCCTTGATCAACATAAAAAACTTCCAATGAAATACTTGCAAATCAAATTCAACAATACATTAAAAAGGAGCATGCACCATGATCAAGTTGGTTTTATTCCAGGGATACATATGCAAATCAATAAATGTACTAGAGCATATAAACAGAATCAAGGACAAAAATCACATGACCCTGTCAATCGATGCAGAAAAAGCCTTTGACAAAATTCAACATCTTTTTATGATAAAGCTCTGAAGAATCTAGGAATAGAAAGAATGCACTTCAATGTCTAAAGGCTACATATGACAAACCTATAGCCAACATTACACTACATGAATAAAAACTGAAATCATTTCCTATAAAGTCAGGAATGAGAAAGGGTATCCATTCTCCCCACACTTATTAAATATAAAAACAGAATTACTAGCCAGAGCAATACAACAAGAGAAAAAAAAAAAGGGATTCAAATAGGGAAGGAATAAGTCAAATTATTCTCCTATTTGCAGATGATATGATGCCACACATAGAAGATTCCACCAAAAAAAAAACTTCCCAGATCTGATAAACACTTTGAGCAATATAGCAGTATATAGAATTAATATACAAAAACCAGTAGTTGTCTACATACTAACAATGAACAGGTTGAGTAAGAAATCATGAAAAACAATTCAATTTGCAATATCTCCCCCCTAAAAGATATGAATAAACTTAATTAAGGAGGCAGAAGTCCTCCACAGTAAAAACTATCCAACCTTGAAGAAAAAAGCTGAAGAAGACACTAAAAGATGGAGATTTCTCTAAAAACTAAAAATAGACATACCACATGATCCAATATATCACTCCTGGGCATATAAAGGAATGTAAGTCACCATACAATAGAGGGAACTTCACACCCATGTTTACTCCAGCACTATTCACAATAGCCAAACTATGGAATCAACCTAGGTCGATTCAATGAATGGATAAAGAAAATTTGGTGTAATATATATATATATATATATATATACAAAATGGAGTATTATTCAGCCATAAAGAAGAATGCAATAATGTCTTTTACAGGAAAGTAGATGATGGAACTGGAGATCATCACATTAAGTGACATAAGCCAGATTCTGTAGGACAAATATTGCATGTTTTCTCTTATACTCAGAATCTAGACTTTTAAAAAAAAAGTGATACTAATCTAAAAGGGGAACTTTTGGGAGGGGCACAAGTAGTTGGGGTTGGTGGGGGAGAGTATGAAAGGAGATGGTGATAGATGGGTGAATATGTTCAAAGCAGTTTATATGCTGTGAAAACAGAACAATGAAACCATTAAAACTTATTATATTATTAGCAAAGTGCTCTTTTTTGAAATAGTATATTAGAAAAAGCAGTCAACATAGAATTCATATTTATAAGGTTTTTAATTTGTACTTTTTTTTTTTTTTTTTTTTGCAGTACTGGTGCTGAACTCAGGTCTTTCTCCTTGAGCTGTTTTTTGTGATTTTTTTTTTTTTTTTTTGAGATAGGGTCTTGTGAACTATTTGTTTGGGCTGGCTTCAAACCACAATCCTCCAGATCTCTGCCTCCTGAGTAGTCAGAATTACAGGCGTGAGCCACTGGCACCTGGCTTAATTTGTACTTTTTTACTCTGGTAGTATGACTGCCAATCCTTAATGACTTTAAAGACTTTATTCTACATACTAGAAATTCTAATGCTCTTTATTCCACAGACAATTAATATGCACGAGCAGATAGTGGGGGAAAACTCATTTTGCTCAAATATTTTACATTAAATATAATCCATTTTTACCGACTTTTAATATGGACAAGTTTTAAAATATGTTTAAAAATGAAAAATAGGGTTAGGTATGGTGGATCATGCCTGTAATCCCAGATACGTGGGAGGCAAATGTAAGGAGGATCACAGCCCAACTTCAGCCCCAGCTACAAATACAGGCCTTGCCTGAAAAATAAACTAAATGGAAAAAAGGACTGAGCTAGTGGCTCAAGTCATGTTAAAAAAAAAAATAATGAAAAACAGCAAGTTAACAATAAATTGTGCATTTGTTATTGGAAATGAACATTCTGATGTAACCTAAAATATCAAATATACTATATGAAACCTGACACTACTAAACTTTTAAAATATATCATACTTTGTAATTTTTGTTCTTATTTTTCCTTAATAAGGATGAATTATTTTTAATTCCTTTAAATGTTTCTAATATACTAGAAATGTTGCATACATAATTGGTTTAACATTAAGTGTAAGTTGTATGTTATTTTACAATTAAAAATGTTTGGTACTAGAATTTCAAATGATTTATCTGACAAAATGGCTATAGTGAATGGAAATCCAGATTTGGATATTTAATCATATAGTCAAATATAAGCTATACATTTAACTTAGAAAAATTTTGAGTATATACAAGTTTTTCTGTGATAAAACTCATGTGTCTTAATCATGTTATCTTAATTGCCAACTTTTTCTTCCTATGAAAAGTAAACAAATTTCTTATCAATACCTTCTGTGAAACAACAATCTTAACTTCTCCTTGGAGTGCTTCAATTTGCTTTTTCTTCTGTTCAGTTGATTGCTTTAGCTCATTTATGTTCCCCTGAAGTTGCTGCTCTTCCTTTTCCTTTTGTTTTAAAGTATTTTGGGCCTGTATGACTTCTCTTTTAATTGAATTGAGTTCCAACTTCAACTGCTGAGAAGTCTAAAAGAAAATGAATACTATTTGCCATTCATTTATTAATTCAAAAGTTTTACTGAATACATACAGCATGCCATGTACTATAGGTAGAAATGTCTGACTCTCTTGACAAATAATCATCAGTTAACCAAAGAGAAAACTCCCTGTCTTCAAGTTGATTTCATAACTGACTTCATTCACTATTAGATGACATGCAAGATTAATGTTCATTATGATTTACTTGATTCTGCCTTTCTTTTAAGCTTATATTGGATATTTAGATAGAATTGTAAATGAACTAGACTAGTATTCCCTTTTATCATAGAGTATATGAATGTCAGTATCAAAGTTTAGATCACTGGACAACACAGTCACTTTCAAGAATATTCTCATACCACTTACCCTATTGGTCACTGTTAATCAGAAGAAATAGCTCTATATTAACTATGATAAAAGTAAAATCTGTTTGGGAAAATATTTTAGTATCTTTCTGATGTCATTCAATTACACTGCACAATAGTTGTATCAATTAGAGATCTGGGGCATATTTTGCTACTTCTTTACTTTTATGATCCATTAGGTTATTTCTGTACAAAATTAAATATCAAATAAAAGTCGCACTAAGGTTCTTCCATAGCCAAGAGAACTACTACTATTTTCTGCCTTTCTAGTCAAAGTCATAATTTCATATTTTAAGCATATTTCATTAAGAACCTAGAACTGCATTTGAGCATTTGACCAAATTCAAAGTAATTTTTTTTAAAGTTTCAGAGCTATATACAGATGTCTCTGCTTATCTCCAAATGTTTTTGTGTAAAACAGAAGTCAGGTAGTATAACAACAGGATGGTATTGCTGTGAAACCCAATGAAAAATGATAGCTTACATATGAGCAGTTATAGTCAGCATTCTGAGTACCTTAAGTGTATTCACCCATTTACTTCTCATAATAACTTTATGACACCGATTCTATTATTAGTCCCATTTTATTGCTGAAAACAGTGGAACACAAAATGATTAAGTGATCTGTCAAACATCACAAAATGGAATAGCTAAAAAACATCATAATCAGGACATACATTTGAACATTTTTGATTCAGAGCTTGAGCACTAAGCCACTATAATTTTGTCATTTACATGGCTGGCATCTGTACTACAAATGTCTTCTTTCAATCAACAATCAGAATACAATGACATTAAACATTTGTTGAGACTATCCTTTGTTGCTTCATCAAATCAGATTTTCTAGAAAACTACATGCTTGGACTCTTAACTACTAAAAGCTATGGCCTCTGAGAGTGACAACTATATATTATACCCATGGATTTACTCATTTGTTTGTGTATTTTAATTCTAAAGCAATCAAAGTATTAACCATAGAAATATCCCAAAACTATTCTTTTTGCTCTGGTTTTTTTTGTATTATGGTGCTGGACAATGAATCCAGGACCTTTTGCACGCTAGACAAGTATTCTACCATTGAACAACATCCTCAGCCAAAAACTAAATCTTGATGATTATATAGTCATTATCACATATAACATTAATATAACTATTCATGAAATAAATAGCTCTTAAAAGATCATTTCTGGGCTGGCAGAGTTGCTCAACTAGTAGAGCACCTGACTAGCAAGCATGATGCCCTGAGTTCAAACCCCAGTACCACAAAAAAAAAAAAAAAGATCAATTCTATGGAAAGCCAATTTTTCTATTATAATAATGTTTCTTAAAGTAGATTATCCAGTTATAATTCTACAGTTGATTCTATTTTCTACTTTTATAATTATATATTTTTTTAATTTATTTGGCTTAATGGTAATGGTAAGTAGGATACAAGTAACAGTCTTAAAATATATATTATCCATTGCATTTCAGAGAAACAACTGTTTCTTTGATCTAAGTATCAGGTTGAAATATTTCAAAAATATAAAGGCTTACTATAATTTACATATTTATATTACAAAAAAAAGAGAAAATCTTACCTCCTTCTCTTTGTCAAGTGACTTTTTCAGTTCATTCTGTTCTTTTAGTGTGCTTTCTGTCTGTACTTGAAGTTGATGCTTTAATTCTTTGCAAGTTTTTTCCTAAAAGGGAGGAAATGATATTATGCAGAAAATATTTGTAATGTCCTCAAAAAGTTGGGAAGATAATCACAAAGAAATTAACTAAAAATCATTGACAAGCTAAAATGGGATAGGATCATCCATTTTAATGATAAGAACAGGCAAACATTATAGGAATAAAGGGGGGGGCAGCAAAGTATTCAGGGGTTCTATCATCAACTAATAGTCACAATAAAATTTTTAGACCATCCTTTAGAAACCATAATTTGAAAACCACATTTTCATGTCACAAAATCATTTATCATTATTTTATTTTAAAAGCAGAATGATGAGGTGCAAGAAAATGGAAGAAAATATTTTAAAGAAAATGCTGAGCTAATAAATTTAAAGAAGAATTACATACAACTCCAGAGGAAAGATGTACAAATACAAAAAGTCTTCTCCAAACAGAAAGAAATGTAAAGGTAGTATATAACATCATGTGTTTTTGTAGTATTAAACATTCTCACTGACCTTCACAGTGAGAACAGCAGTCTTACCTTTACTATTACTTTGTGTTATTCTGGGTTACAATACTTCTGAGAACTTATTCCCCTTTATACTCTTACTGACAGTGCAACATTATTCTCTGTAGTTTAAGTATATTTTATGGTCTCTCTAACAAAATATTATTAGTTTTAGAATATTCAATAATGAGAAAGTTTATAGTGCCAGAATTAAAAGAGTTATTAAAATTTTTTTGGCTAATTTTCAGGAAAATGAACGTTTCAGTTGCAGTTGCATTTCTCTGTGGAAATATCCCCCAAAACAAACATGCTTATCTTGGGCCATCTTTTTCGAGGTTAAGCAATCCTACTTCCTTTTCTTATAAGAACTATCTTAAAACATTTAAATGTAGGATACAAAGTCAACAGTGAATTAAGCCAAAGCCAAAGCCAAAAAAAAAAACAATCAGTACATTTTATTTATATTTTGGCAGTACTTGGATTTTGAACTCAGGGTCTCCAGCTTGGCAGGCAAGTATTCCATCACTAGAGCCACACATCCAGTCCAATACATTTTAAATAAAGTAATCACTTTTACATAAGAAAGTAAATATAAACAACTAACCAAATCTAATATTGCAGCTTTTCCTTTCTGATTTTCCTTTTCAAATTCACTTTTGGAGTTTTTCAAAGAATCTGAAACTTTTGTTAATTTCTCTTTTGCTGTAGAAAGCTCTGTAATTAGAGTTTCTTTCTCTATCTTCACTTCTTTTAGTTCTGTTAGTGCTGTTTGAATTCTGTCATTCAAATCCTTGTGCTGCATCTTTGCATCTTGACTTAACTTTTCAGTTTCTTCTTTCAGGATAATATTTTCCTTCTCTTGTTTAGTAAGCATTTGTTTAATATTTTCAATGGCTTCAGATTTTTTCTGTAGATCCAATTTTGTACTGGATACTCTAGATTGTTAAGAAACATTTGTAAAAATAATGCACAATTTACCATTCAAAATTAATAATAAATGAAGATTCAGTTTTTAAAGTTTCTTATAAGTTCCAAAGAAAAACTAATTTAATTTAATAAAATCACACAACTGAAAAATGCCTTATAATATCAGATCTGCTCATTTAACAGATGTGCATGATTTTCCTCTACTAAGTTAATAGTAAAGCAATTAAGTTAGTAGTAAAGCAGAAACCATATGAGCCTCCTGACTTAATCCAGTCTTGTTAAAACAGATCCCTAAAGAAAAGTACATACAGCAAATCACAGCAGATCTACAACTGCCAGAAAAGTTTTTCCACGCATCCTAAAGAACCTATTAAATGTGTTCATTTCCAAGCACATAGAGAACTATGCTTCTTTTCTTGAAAACATAAAACACAATATGTGTTTGACAGGTCTTAAATATCAAAATATTTAAGGTAAGACTGAAAAAATGTATAAGAAAAGAGTATGTTACTTCAAAGATGGAGGAAAGACAAATGATTTGCTTAACTCCAAAACTACCAACTTATACAAGTGCTGTGTTACCATTTATCCTTTAATGTAAGTTTTTATGCCATAATGAATAAGTTACAAGAATAAGGAAGTAAAGATATACTACAGGCTGGGTGTGGTGGTACATACTTATAATCTCAGCACTCAGGGGGCTGAGGCAGGAGGATCACAAGTTCAAAGCCAGCCTGGGCTACATAGTGAAACCCTTCTCAAAACACAAAAACCAAACAAATAGAACAAAAGGATAAAAAGAGGACATTATTACAGATTCTATAAACATTAAAAGTAAATTGGAAGTTTAGATGAAATGAACAAATTCCTTGAAGGATACAAATTAGCAAAACTGATTCAAGAAAAATAAATTAGAAGATCTGAATAGCACTTTATTAAATAAATTGAACCCCAAATGAAGCAAAACAGAGACAGAATTCTATGCCCGGGTGGTTCATTGGTGAATTCTATTAAACATTTAAAAATAATAATAACCTTCTTTTTTAGAAAGTAGAGGAGGAAAACTCAATCCCTTTTTAAGACCAGTGTTCCTAGTCCTGAGTTCAAACTCCGGTTCCACCAAAACACAAAAGATCAGTGTAACACTAAACCAAACCTGATGAAGATATTAAAAGAATGTTCACATTATGAACTAATGTGAATGCCTTAAAAAATTCTTAACAAAATAAACTTGTTCCTCACTATACACTGGGGTTTGGTTCTAGGACCCCCTAGAAATATCCAAACCTGTAGGTGCTAGCGTCCTTCATATAAAATGGTACAGGATTTACATAATACCTACACACATCTTCTGGATACTTAAAACTATCTGTAGATTACTTACAATACCTACCACAATGTAAATGTTACAGTTGTTCTACTGCATTTAGGGAATAATCACACGGAGTGTACATGTTCATACAGACACAATTTTTTACTCCATGAATATTTTCAATCATTAGTTGGTTGAATCCAGAGATGTAGAGCCCATAGATACGGAGGGCTGACTATATCATCAAATCAAAAACTACGACAGCATGGTCAACTGAAATTTATCTCAGAAAGGCAAGGTTGATTTAATATGAGAAACCAACTAATGTAATTCACCATACTAACAGAATAAAGGAAAAAAAATATGATCATATGAAAAGATGCAGAAAAAGTTGATAAAACCCAGGCATTATTTAAAAGATAAAATAATTTTTAAAAATAAAATTAGGGTCAGAAGGGAATGTCCTCAATCTGATAAAGGGAAACTAGGGAAAACCTACAGTTAACTTCAAACTTGAAAATTCATTTAATATTTTCTGTCTAAAATCGTAAACAAAGCAAGGATGTGTGCTATCACAATTTACAAAAGTCCTAGTCAGCAGTAGATCAAGAAGACATAAAAGGCCCGCAAATTGGAAAGGAAGAAGTAAAACTGTCTCCATTCGCAGATGTAACATGATCATCTATTTTAAAAGTACCAGTAATTCTATAAAAATAACAATTAAAACTAAAAAGTGAATTTAGCAAGGTTAAAAGAAAATCAGTATATAAAAATTTGAATTAAGCCCACAGTAAGTGAGAAGTTAAATTGAAAAAATAAACTTAATTTGAAAAAGTAATTTAATTAAATTTACTTTTTCAATTTAATTTGATAGCAAATTTATAAATTAACAAAATTTATAAATTAATAAATTTAACAAAAGATATGGAAGATCTCTACATTAAAAACAGTGAAATACTATGCAGAGAAATAAGGAAGACCTAAGTAGGCAGAAAGATATATCACCTTTGGGAAGTAGAAAACTTGATGTTAAGATGTCAATTCTCCCCAAATTAATTTCTAATTTCAATGCAATTCCAATCAAAACCAACAGTTTTATCTGTACAAAGGATGAGTTAATATGAAATTTTATAGGGAAAAGCAATTTTGAAGAGTCAAGCTAATGTTCAAAAAGATTATTGTATTGACGATTAATACAACTTGATACAAGGATTTACCATAAAGCAAAAACAATCAACATAGGATGGTAGTGATGTCGGGACAGATCAATAAAACAGAGTAAGAGCCGCAAAAGCACCCACATCCATTAGGTGAACTACTTTTGACAAAGATGTTAAGCCACTTAATGGGGAAACATTTTCCCAACAAATCAAATGGTACGGAACAATTTAATAATGCATGGTATGGTGTAAAAGGTGATCCCAACTGCTCCCTCACACACACGCGCGCACACACGCACACGCACACATACACACACGCGCGCACACACGCACACATACACACACACGCGCGCGCACATGCGCACAGCACGCACGCACACACACAAGGGGCACATTATATGACTCCACTTATACGAAGTTCAAAACATTAAGTTAATCTACAGAGGCTGAAATAGAGCTGTGGCTGTCCACAGGGAAAAGGAACCGAACTGACTAGAAGGGTGCATGAGGACAGCCCAGGAGCGATGAAAATGCTTCATACTGGAGAAAGGGGGTGTAGAGAAGACGTGGTTACAAAGAGATACACTTATTAAAACTCAAAATCTGTGCATTTAGTTAAGGTGTAAATTTTACCTCCCTAATAAAAAGAATGTTCACGGCTTCGGGTCAAGGCATCACAGAACTGGAAACACATTTTTGTCATCCCTTACTTGGTTCAGTGCCTCAAACCCAAGCTAGCTCTTCTGAGGAGACTCATGTATAAAAGGGTACGATTCAAAATAACCACTCAGGAGAAATGGGTACAATGTAATTGTTCAAAAGAGATTCCTGACCCAAACTTCATAAAACTAAGCTTTCCGTCCTTTCTAGTGAAGGTAGCTTTAACCACATCATTTTGGCTTATTTTGCATTCACATTAACAGTAGTCAAAAACCAACATGAAATAAGCATTTAACGGACCTTTAAGGACAATGATAGCAAAGTCAAAAGCCAAAGGAAATATAAGCACTTGGTATACAATCATTGTTATAAGTGAGATAATTTGCCTTACATTTCTCTCTCCATGTCAAGTTGTTTACTCGATTCTGCAATCCTAAATTCTAACTCTGTGTTCAGCTGCCTTTGCTGCTGTAGATCCTGCAAAGCTTGCTCCTTGCCCACTTTAACTTCAAGAGCATCAGCTTCTACTTTCTATGGAAGAAATATAATACAGCACTCATTTTAATAAGCTGATAATTATCTTTTCTTTTTTTTGTTGTACTTGGGATTGAACCCAGGGCTTTGCACATGCTCGGCAAGAACTCTACCATTTGAGTTAAGCCCCCAGTCCTTTTGGTTTTTTGGTAGTGAGGTTTGAACTCAGGGCCTTAGGCTTAGCTAGGCAGGTGCTCTACCACTTGAACCACTCCTCCAGTCCATCCTTTTGTTTTTATTTTGGTTTTGAAATTGGGTCTCACTAACTTTGCTCAGGCTGGCCTCACCATCCTATCCCTACCTTCCAAGTTGTCTGCATTCAAATCAGTATTGACATAAGATACAAATAACCAAAACATATTTATAATAGAAAACACATTCTGAAGCCATGTGCAGTGGCTCACGCTTATAATCCCAGCTACTTGGGAGACAGGGGATAGTGGTTCCAGGTTAGCCTGGGCAAAAAGATAGCAAGAGGCATCTCTACAAATAAGCCAGGCATGATGGTACACATGTGTAATCCCAGCTACATGAGAAACATAGGTAGGAGGATTGCCATCCAAGGCCAGGCCAGGGCAAAAACAAAAGATCCTATCCAGAAAACAACTAAAAGCAAAAAAAGAACTGGGAGCATGTCTCAAGTGGTAGAGTGCCTGACTCAGTGCAAGGCTCTGAATACAACCCCAATACCAAGAATATTAAATAAATAAAAAAGAAATAAAGAAAACATTCTGAAACCACTACTGAGAAAGAAATTTACTTTTTAAAGTCTTTCAGATGACCTCCTAAAGGCTTCGTACATAATAAGTAGCCAATACATGTTTATTTTTAAAATTAATTTTGAGTAAGAGAATAAACTTAAGTGTAAATATTACTACAGCAAAAAAAAAATAAGTCAAGTTTAAAAAAAAAACAGGTTGCTCATGTACCCAATTAATATACATTATCTTTATATTCATAGTTAACAACATTAAATTGTAACATATTTAAAATTAAAATAGATTTGTAATCAATGCCTATAAACCCTAAATATAAAACCACTTAAATTCCTTAAATTCATGACTTTAATTCATTAATTTCTTGGTTTAGATGATATTATTACTCTTCATAATGTAGTATGCATCTCATACGTATATATATATAGTTATCTGTGTAGTTTTATAAATTTATAAATCTATAAACAATGCACTTTCTTGCATAGGTTAGGTGTAATGACTTTGTACACTTAAATATTTTATAAACCAACTGTTCTCTTTGGCTCTAACCCAATAAGTAATTGAAGATATTCATAAAAGATTTTTGATGCAACAAATTAATTCTATAATAATATGCCTATATAAAATATTGGAATATTTTCTAAATTAACTAGAAAATTTTAAAGAGGTAATAATCACAATAGGCACTGTCAGTTCTAAATAACAACTATTTTTATTTATTCTTAACTGATATACAGAAATATAAAAGTTGTACATTTTAATGGAGGTACTTTATAATGTTCAATGTATGTATACATTAGATAATGTCTAAAGCAGGTTAAACATTTTTATACCCCCAAGCATTTACCGTTTCTTTGTGGTGAAAATTTTCAAAATATTTTCTTCTAGCTTTTTAAAATATACAACACATAACTATTATCTCTGGTCACAGTATAGTGAAATAGTACAGTATTTCACAGTTCTTTCATCCTCCATAATAGCTATCTTTAAAAGGTACTCAACAGAATTCTCATTAGACACTTTTCAGTAAAATAGTACAACCATAAATAACTTGTCATTACTACTCCACACTGGCCATAAAGAAAGGAAAAGTGAACCCATAATTAGAATGATAAATGTCATCCTTTTCTCATATTGGGATGGATGTACATATATACATATCCAAATCTCATAATTCTAAAATCACACATGCAAGTTTCACCTGATTACAGAAGTATGAGTTAGAGACATGTGGTAACTTGAGAAACAATATATTGGAGTAAGGAAATAAGGAGATGGAAAAAATGAAAGAACAGAAGAGACTTTTAAACAACTAAAAATTGATACTTTGCTCATAATATAGAATAGCTCCCTAGTTGGTTGTCTTTTGGAAATAGTTAACACTTCACAATGAAATCAGTATATATGTTCTGATCACTTATTTATAAAAGCCATTTGCTAATGAAAGAAAAATAAAGATGAAATTCTAAAATAAGACATGAAAAATTATAAGTAATTTTTTTGAAGTTTACTACAACTTCACCTTTCTTTGTTAATTAAAAATCTGATTCCACCAGTCCTCATATCCCAATGCTGTTGAATAGAAAATATAGCTAAATTCAACATCATTTATACAAACCTTAATTTGCCCTTCTAGCTCTTCAGCTTTCTGTTCTAGAGAGAGGTGTTTCTCTTTATATTCTTTAAGCTGACTTTCCAGCTGATTGCAATGTTCTTGCTTGTCTTGTAACTTCGTAGTGATCTGATCCAACTGTGTAGTGATCTTATTTAACTCCTACAGAAAAGTACAATTGAAGAAAACTTTGGTAGGCTTACTAGGTTGTAGTGCCCAGATGTTGAGTCAAGGTAAAATTAAATCTCTACTTTTATTTCAAAATATATATGGAGTAAGACCTCAGATAAGTTTCATGATATGTCAGATGCTATCTTTATTCACCAACATAAAGGAATTAAAGTTTTAGATATTGTAAGATACTAACTTTATAACAATTAAATAACTTCTTATTGTCTGTTTTTGCTGCAGTGCTAGGACTTGAACCTAGGTCTCACAAACACCCTACAACTGAGGTACACACCAGCCAAGTTAAATAGGTCATCAATGTTTTTCTAGAAAGTATTATTTTAGAGCCATAAATAGGTTAATAACAAAATAAATATTAAAATTAAATGTTTTCAACGTTCAAAATGCTCTTTTTAAAAATATTATAGAGAGATTAGGTGTGGCGGCTCAAGCCTGCAATCCTAGCTACTCAGAAAGTGGCGATCAGGAGAATCATGGTTTGAGGCCAGCCCCGCCAAAAAGTTTGCAAGATCCCATCTCAACCGATTGCTGAGCATGATAGTGCATACCTATCATCCCAGCCACCCAGGGAAGCATAAATAGGAGAATTGCAGTTCAGACCGTCCCAGGCATAATATAAGACTCTTATCTCAAAAACAACCAAAGCAAAAAAGGCCTGGCTGAAGTTCAACCTTCAGTACTGAATATATATAAAATGTACACAGAATATACACAAATACAATAGTGATGACATCTCTAATATTTGTTCAACTCACTTGAGTATCCAGTTTCATTTAAAGAACAAGATAAAAATTACTATTAAATCCACAGCTATGCATAATTACTGCTAATGTTTTGATAACTATGCTTCTGGTCTTTTCTGTATGCTAATTTCTTTTTACATTTTGGTACTTTTAAAATAAAATAGGTATCCTACTTTACATACCATTTTATTTTAACCAACTTTATTTTCAGACAGCAACACATCATAAAACTTTCTGATTTTGTTTTCTAAAATGCCATACTTGACTACAAAGTCCATTTAATTGATATAGTCCATTTTTAGTCAGATCTGCTTTAGATTCTTTAGATTGCTACTAAATATTCTGTATTTATTAGTAAATACACAAATGCAATCTTTCAAATAATAAAATCTACCATTATTCCTTAGGATAAAGGACTTAAATTAAGACAAACTCTAAAGTACTTGCCCACAACCAGCAATTGTCTCCACCTCTCCCCTAAAAGGCTAAACTAATGCACAGGCCTACTAGCACTGTGTTAAATAAAGTGGCTTGTGCTTCCACACCCTCTCCAACACTTCCACTCATCACTGAACACAGAAACACACACACACTTTTCTCAATTTGCAACTGATTCTTAGTGAACCTAAACATTTCCTAATATATTTTTGAATATGTATACAAGTTGAGCATACAGTATTTGAAAAGCTTAGACCTAGAGATTTCAGATTTTGGAATATTTACATAGATTTTAATTAAGTTTAAGCATCTCTAATCAGAAATCCAAAATTCTAAATATTACAAATCCATCAAGTCAATACTGAAAAAGTTTTAGATTTGGGAAATTTTGGACTTCTGATTTTCGGATAAAGAAGGCTTAGCCTTTCCGGTAGGCTCTCTTATTTCTCATTCAAAAGTGTTTTAAATAACGAGGATATTAACACTTCGTTAGACATGTTCCAGAAAATGTTTTTATCTTTTTGCTATGTGTTTTAGAACTTTAAATCTTTGACAAGTAAATTTAAATCTTTATATGGGGGTTCATATGCTTTTCCATTATAGTTTCAGAAAATACTTTCAAGATGTGTTTAGCAATACTGTTAAGTAAAAAGCAAGTTGCAGAATCATATATATTGTATGATTCCACATGCATAAAAGAAAATATTTTTAAATTTTTTTATGTGTATGTACACATATAAAATATTTTCTTCAATGCTTACAGAGGTCTGGAAGAATACATACCAAATTTAACAGCAAACATTCCATCTAAGAAAAATGGGAGTGGAGTAAAATAGAAAACAGAAAACTGTTTTGTTTTGCTTTTAAAATCAGATATATTATATGTCCTTTAAAAATAGACCATTGGTCAGTGTTACTTCTTGAATAATGAGTAAATTCTAAAAATTCCTAACCTGATAAAAGGTAAGAAAATCTACATCAGTTTGACTTTGATCCTAAAATAGAAGATTCTATTGAGAAAAATAATTTCTATAATCCCTCCAGCTCCTCACTCCCTCCCACCCCTTCCCCCAAAAGAAACTCTTTATAATTGAGATTGAAAACACAGTACTCTTTTCCTGCTTCCAAGAAGCAAGTACATCTGGGTAGTCCAGCCTGCCTACTAACAATAAGTGTGGAGTTCTGTTTCCCAATCACTGGTGCTTCCTGGGATGAGACAATCCACTCTCCACACCAAAGCCTACGTTAGGGAAGAAATACAATACAATATTAGGAAGCCCAACCATACTTGCATGCCAGTTAAGTTTTGTCAAAAATAAAGATCAGCCAGGCGCCAGTGGCCTGTGCCTGTAATACTAGCTAAACAGGAGGCAGAGATCAGGAAGATTGTGTTTCAAAGCCAGCCTGGACAAATAGATCATGAGACCCTATCTTGAAAAAACCCTTCACAAAAAAGTGCTGGTGATGTGTAGGCCCTGAGTTCAAACCCCAGTACTGAAAAATAAAAAAAAAAAAAAACCATGATATTTTTATCTCCATTTGTTTAACTCCTGAATCTTTTATTCAACTGGTTCTGAAGTCAGGGAGAAATAAGAGGGATAAGCAAATCTATCACAAGATTTTATAAAACTGGTTATCACTTTTACACGTTTGCAATTAACTTATTTACCAGAGTAGTAGCTTATGATATGAAATTGCATCAGATTCCCTACCTGCTGTTTATCTTGTAGTGCATTTTGAGCTGTGTCCAAATGATTCTGAAGATCGGCTCTTTGAGCGGTTTTCGCTGCTTCTGCTGACAGCAATAATTCAGTTTTGGCTTTAATCTGTGACAAAATTTAAAAGCTATTTAATTCCATATTTAGTTGCTGATTTCCTCTTGCTTGAATGCACACTGCTTTTGTCACTCAACTATTTAAAAAATAAGTCCTTTGATTAAAAAGAAAGAATTTAGATACTGAAAAATATGTATGTGAAAAATCACCAAAATAGGAAAGGGTAAGGGAGAAGACTCCTGATAATGTTTCGATAACAATGAAAAAAAAGTTCCTATAGGACACCAAAACATTACAGTACCCCTTTGTTAAGGAAGAAGTGGTAATGCACATCTATAATTCCAGCCACAGTGGGAGAATTATGAGTTCAAGACCAGCTTGAGCTACATAGTGAGACCCTGAAAAGAAGGGAGGGAGGGAAAAGTATATTTTATTTTACTGAGAAAGGCCCCTATATTTTATAGAAGTGAATATCCAAAGTCTTCTGCTATACAATAAACCAGCTGGGTCAAAGAAAATGATGGCTCCAAAGATACTCAAGAACTTCAGAATCCACAGAGTCAAAACAGTCAGAATAACTGGAACTACGTTTGAAATTTACTACTTCACTTTTCCCTGCCAACTTCTCACCTAAAGAATTTTACTTTTGATGCTCATAAAAACCCAAGAAATCACACATTAAAGACTTAAAGCTGTCAACAATAAGCTTTAAGTAAAATTAAACAAGCAAGAAGTTCTGCTCTGTTATCAAAAGTAACATTTCAGTATTTAAATAACTTTAGCATAACTCACCTCTAATACAAAAGGCAAGAAGTAGAAAAAATATAAACATATATCTGAAATTACAGTATTTTGAAAAAAAAGGGTAAAAATGGGGAAGAGAACATTTTTTGAGCTAGGAGTATCAATGAACATAAGTCTAAAATATACATTATAGGAGTAAGTTTAAGAAGAAAGGAAAAAAAATCTGGAGAAGTCTTGTTTCAATGATTAAATACTTAATTTTCAAAGAAAAGATAGCTATATCAAGATATATACATTTACACTAAATTAAAAGTGAAATCCAAAGAAATCCACACTTTAAATAATAGGAAGTAAATCCACAGTAGCTGATGAATATGTATCAGGAACTATGAAAAGCTCATTTTTGTGGAATTCAGCTTCATTTACATTTGGTATTTTATCTATCTGAAGAATCAAGAACTCATTAAATACTTTAATACAAGATAACTTGCTCAAGATCTTTTAATACAATATGCTTCAACTAATGTGATATATTTTTCCAAAGTCATGCAACAAATATTTGAGGAAAATTAAGAAATATTTCCTCTGGTTTACACTGTTTCAGAAAAACTTCTGATGGAGAAAATATGTGGCCATTCCCATGACAGTCCTTTTATTCTCAGTAAGTCCACACGCAATGCCAATAGCTAAGATGCTACAATTGTTGCCACACATGCATGAAAGCTCTGAACACAGGAAGAGCACAAAGAGCAGTCTCCTGGTGCTTGTCACACATGTGCATAGTAATTTACCCTGATGCTGTCCTGATCACGCCTACTAGGAAGTATCTGGGAAGTAGGGGTCAAAAGACACGTTACACAACTGGAAACTGGGAAATAGCTTAAAAATCACCAATGTGTAGTTAAAGGGACATTCCAGGGAGTGGAGGAGGAAGATTATCTAAACAGACTTTGTTTAGTATGTTTTTATTTAAAAAAATATATTACAGCCAAAATCTTTTAGTGTCTGGTTGATGGTCTTAATATTACTTAAAGCACTAGGTTTTCATCAGAGTCCTAATTCTTGAAAGAAAAGTAAAACCATACATCCTACTTCATGAAATAAAACTAGTTCATAGAAATGTTAAAGTAGCTTTGAAAAAAAAAGTGAGGAAGGTGAAAAATACCTATAGGTAACATTTTTTCAAAGAGAAGAGTAATGTAAAGGTGATAAAGGATACAATGACGTAAGGAAAACTGGCTGATCTTATTACAAGAAACAATGAAAAGCTAAAGATCCAATGATTTTAGATGACTTGAGAAGGTAGAGTTGTACAGAGAGAAAGAGAGAAAGGAGAAGGAGGAAAAGGAAGGAGAGGAGGAAGAACCCATGTAAACAGAAAAGCTCAACAAACTAGATTTCTAAATTTCTATTACCAATGTTTTTCAATTAATATATAAGGCAAAAAAGAAAGAAGGCAAAACATTTGATAGTCTAAAATTGGTGCTTTACGCATATAAACTCACTAAGAAGCATAATTCAATATTACCTGTATGTCAAGCTGAGAGACCTTCTCTTTGCTTTCATTTAATTGACTATTTAATTCATTGACACTGGTTTCTAGGGAAAGCACGCGGTCTTGTGCAGCTCTGAGATGTGCCTTCTGCTCTTGTACCTGGTCATGTAAATTCTCCTGGGCTTGTTTGTGGCTTTCTGATTGATTCTTCAGCTTCTCTGTTAGTTGAGTTACCTAGTATATAAATAAGATTCTAAATATGAAATTCACAAATGACATACAAAAACTAAGAAACTCAAATTTCAGCAGTATGAGAATATAAAACTTATTTATCATAGGTTATCTTACACTTTTACAAGTAAAATTATTCACTTTCCAAAGCTAAGTAAACATAGCATCTCAATTCATAAAAAAAAAAAAATCAAATTCAGATGTATTATTTTAAAATCATCTCCATTTAGATATAATTTACATGCAATAAAATTCATCTAACTGAAGTATATAATTTGAAATATATTAATGTATACACACATTTAACCATCACCATAATTAAGATGGACATTTTCCTTATCCCTGAACACTTCCTCGTGCCCCTTTGCAGTCACTCCTACCTTCCTTTTCTAGCCCCAGACAATCACTGACTTAATTGAGTAACAAGAGGTCCTTCCATATTCTGGATATTTCTACATTGTATGATTGATACTATTATCATATTTTATTGTAAATACTTTCTCCCAGACTGTGTCTTGGCTCTTATTTTCATAAAGTTATCTTTTGGAGAGCATACATTCTTAAATTTTTAGATGAAATCCAATTCATCTGATACTAATTTCATGTAGCTTTCTTGGAGTCCACTGAACTTTTTAAATCCATAGATTTATATTTTTAATCAAATTTAAAATTTTTCAGTCACAATTACTACCAATATTTTTCTCCTCATCATCCTTTTGTGATTACTCATTACATATTCTAGCCTGCATGATACTGCCCAATGGATCACCAAGGCACTGTTCTTCCCACCTGCTCCTGGCCTTTTTTCTCTTTCTGTTTCATTTTGGACAATTTCAATTGCCCTGTCTTCATATTCACTAATAAAGTTTTCTACTTGCTTTATCTATTAAGTCCATACAATAAAAATTTCAAATTCAATTATTTTAAGTTTTTCTAGTACTAGAAGTTCTATTTGGTTGATTTTTTATTGTTTCCATTTTATCTCCATTGTTATAATTTTTCCTTTATACCCATAAGCATACAATAAGAGGTGCTTTAAAGTACTTGCTTGATAATTCCATCATCCTTCATTTCAGGATCTGTATTCACTGAATTATTTTCCTCCTGGTTATGACACATTTTCCTGCTTTTCACATGTCTAGTAAATTTTTGTTATTTATCATAACTAGTCTGGAATATGTTGTATTTTTTCAAAGAACGATGAGTTTTGTTCCAGCAAGTAGTTAATACATTTGTGGTTCAGCTGAGCCCTTTCAAGGCTTATTTTTATATTGTTAGATGAAATGTACAGTAGCTTTTATTCTGGGGCTACTTTACTCATCATGAAAAGTGTAGACATTTTTGATGTTTCTACTGAAAAACTATTCAGCTATGTCTTTCATCTCTGACTGGCTAGCATTTGAACATCTCCTAGTCCCCTATGAGCTCTGGTAATTTTCCAACTTGCAGCTCCCTGATGCTGTTCATTGTTTGGACTTGTAGACTATCTCACCATATAAATGCATAACTTAACATCACCAAAGCCTACCATGAATCTTCTACGGATTTTTGGAGATTTTCTCCCCATTGCTCATTCCTCTCTGGTATTCTGTCCTACAATTTAAGCTACGTTAACCTTCCTGAACTTCAATTTAAATTTAAATCAATCTCTCATTCTCAGTTCAGGAAGATCACTGTTCTTTTCTTGAATTCTCCCAAACTACTCCACAGTCTAGAAAAATGTTCTGGGTAAAAATTTCAAGTGGCTAAAGGTTTCACCTACCTAGTTTCTGCCTATGGCCTAATGGCTGAAAACAGTGACTTTATACATTTTTCCACTTTTCTAGTTGTTTATGGTAGAAGGGCTAAATAGTTATCAATTATCCCAACATGGCCAGGACCAGAAGTATATAGATTAATTTAATTTACTCTTTCTAAGAAATGCATGATTTTTCTGGTCATATTTGTAGGATGAGCAGCTTCAAGTTGTAGATAACTAAAGTTAGTCTAAAGAATTCTTTATAGAAACTAAAGAATTCCTCATAAGAGTTCTTCAAAACTAACTTGGAAATCTGAGAAGGAATCCATATTATATTCTAATTCCCAGATTAGAAAAGTGATATGACTTCTGATACTTTGTTCCAAATAGTTTCTCATTAAGATAACAATATTCTCTCAAAAGATAAATCTTCCAAAAAAGAGCAACTGTTATTATTTTTTGAAAATGTACTAATTGAAGTTTTGTAAGTTTCTTTTAAACTATGAAATTTAGAACAATAAATCAACTTATCAAAATTATCTATTAATTATTCAAAGACATACACATTATCAAATATAACTGTTAAGTGTTAATATTAAACAATACACAGTAACAACTAACACTTGGTTAGTACCTTTAACTTCTTAATATATGTTGTTATTCATTCCTTTTTTTAAGATCACAAAATGCCAGAAGGCAAGTATGCATTATTAATAACATCTCTACTTTTCTAATTAGCTAGCAAAGTAAAATGATTTACCTTAAGGTAATAAGTCATATTCTAGGACTTGAACTAAGGATTTCCTTTGTCAAATCATGTTAACTAATTTTCACTGCTGCAGTGAAGGTAAAGGAGAAGGTAGCTTTCAAAAATACGTAACATTTTAAAAGTAGTTAAAAAGAAGGGCTAGGGGCATGGTTCAAGTATAAAGTGCCTGCCTAGCAAGCACAAAGCCCTGTGTTCAAACCCCAGTACCATCAACAAAAGTAGTAAAAAGAGTCAGGATGATGAATCAATCATTTAAATAAAGTATTTAATATGATTTAGAGAGATAAAAGTATACTTTATAAATATAGTGCATTTTACAAGCTTACTTGTTCCTGTAATGTATGGTTTTTTTCTTGTAACTGGTTAAGAACAGCAGTCTCTCCTTCACCAGCCTGAATTTTTGCATAAAGATCTTCTCTTTCCTTTTCAAGTAATGAAATATTTTCTTTACTCTTTTGGAGTAAGGCTTCAAGGTTCTGGATCTTTTGGTCCTTATCACCAATTTGACGTAGTACTTGCTCTAAATCATTCTGTAAGGAATTAAAGCTACTATTTTAAAGACAATGAACTTAAAAAGTTATTCTTTAAACATAAAATGACTGATAATAATATCATCCAAACTCTTAATCTTACATTTTTAAAAACTACACATTACATTTTATCATGGCAAGTTTAATTAGAACTATATACCTAATAATGTAAATTGATATTAATAACCTAGAATTTAACCAAAAAGCCAATTAATAACATTCTTTTGCTAATACTTTGATTGTACCTTCCACTGGTCTTCTGATCAGATTCAGACACATGGGACTCATTATTCCTTGATCATTCCAGGCATATTCCCACCTCTGAGCCTGTGCACTAATGATCCTTCCTGAAATGCTTTCTTCATAGTCATATGACTCATTCCTTCTCCATCAAATGTTAGCAAGTATCACCTTCTCCATCAGGCCTACCCTGACCTGACCAATTTAAAATTGTGGCCTTTTCCAACATTTAGTATCCAGTTATTTTTTTTCTTTCCTTCCATGGCATTTAATCTCTAACACACTGAATAATTTACTTATTTTTCATATGTATCTCCCTTCCTCATCCACCATTAAAATGTATGCTGCACAAAGGCAAGGATTTTTGTCTATTTTATTCATTGATGTATATCCAAGATATCTGACACATGTTCTAAAATAATCACGGAACAAACTAAAACAACAAATGATTGCAATTCTAACATACATGCATTTACACAGGCTGAGTAAATACTCCAGCAGAACTTTTCTGTCTCTAAGTGGTCCCTCTTCTTTACTTTACAAGGATCACAATGTTATGTGGAGCACAATGCAATAGACTTCCTTCAGAATAACACCTGCTTTCTCAAGCTGTTTGACCCATAGCATTTGTCTCTACCTCAATCTTTTTAAGGGAGCCAAAGACTACACCCAGAATACGGCCCTGACCAGTCCCTCCGTAAACTTTTTAGTAGTCCACACCACCTTGCTGAGACAAAGCCAGCAGCTACATGATATTTGTGCCAATATTAAGATATTTAATTAATATTAAGATATTTAAAGGTGAGTCACTTCCAAACATGCTTCTCATTCCTCTAAACTTCAGTTCCAAAATGAAGAGAAACATAACCTCTCTGCTTTCAGCTTCTGCCTTGCCACTCTACAGTCCACTATTCTTCTGGAAACACAGTCCCAATCATAAGCTTTGTTCCAGAAAAGTGTTAATTGAAATTTGGTTCTGTCTGTACGGATTCTACTTCTCCCTCACCTTCTCTAGTCAGGAAGGCTTATTGCCCTGGGTAAGCAGATGAGGCTGCCTTTTCTTGTTGTTACACTGTCATCACTCTCTCATGTAAAAGTTAAGTATTGTTTTGGGAAGTATCCATTCTTACTTATTCTACTCTCTACTCCTTACTGCTATCATCTATAAATCCCTACCTCATCCAATGAAGAATTGAGACCTGATTTAGACTTTCTCTCAATCCCAACTTTTGCCAATGTCCTGAGAAATACAAAATACATACAGAATTAAGAGCATCACATTTGAATCATCTTAACTCTTGGACCTTAATTCATTCCATATTGAAATCACTCATATAGGATCATGTAGTAACCTAAAATTGTTCCAGCTAAAAAAAATTCCAAGTGTCTTACTCTGTAACCACAACTTCCGGATTTATCTTCCAATTTCATTATCTCATCTTCAGTGCCAGAGACCTTAATTTCCTTCTAGTTTATTCAAGATATGCCTCGCTTGTCCCGCTAAAACTCACACATGGATATGACCTAACCATAACTATTCTTTCAATCACATCCTTCATTTCCTTTCACCTCAAAATTTTCAAGGCAGCTTCTCTCCAAAATTCTAATTCTAGATCAGTGATATAATTGGTTTTTCTCTACTCTTTAATTTCTAAAGACTGTTAGAATAAAAGCACAAGACTCCATAGATTTATGCCACTACAAAGTTCTGGATTCTAACTTCATTAAATACTCAGAATCTTTTCAATCCTGTCATTTGAATGAGGCTCTTCCCTCTCAACATTTTACCCAATAACTTCTTAAATGTTTCACTAAGTATCTCCTCTAAGCTCTCAGATCTGCTTATCTGACATTCAGCCATCTCCAGCTCTATCCCAAAATCTAAGATTTTTAGGAATGATCTTCCTTGATTTTCCATTCACTTACCTATACAACTATATTTGTGTGTGTATGCATGTTTACCTCAGTAAAGAAGTTAAAATTCACTTCCCCCATTGCATGAGTGGTATCATAGCTCCTTTTCATTATTATCTAATTTCTTTAGTGACATTCCTTCCAATATATTTAATAACTCCCTCTCAGGCTGCGAGTATGGCTCAAGTGTTAGACACCTGCTTGGTGAACTCAAGGCCTTGAGGTTCAAACCCCAGTACCACCAAAACAACAACAAAACTCCCTCTCTACCAATTTCTTTGTCCTAGGCTAGAAATATATTTATGTCTCTCTTATTCTAAAAAATACTCTAGAGGAAGCGCCCCTCCAGTGTCTGCCCTGTCTTTACACAATTCACATTTAAATTTCAAAAGTAATTTACTCGTCAATCAGACTTTGAATAAAGTTACCAGTTTATTTTTAAATGCTTATCTAACAGATCTCTTTCTTTGATCATATTGGGCATCCCACCTCACATTCACATTGTTAATTTCTCTTACACTATAAGCTCCAGCAAAACCCAACAGTTTAATTCATACTAGCTTCACTATCCTTGACTTTGGAACATTTACCTGGTAAATAACACTATCACCATCTTTGTACCCAAGAAATGTCTACTCGATGACTCAGATCGTCACTTGTAAGAAGTCTTCTGTGACTCTTCTTTTCTAGACTCAGTTTGGGTTAGGCAACTATCATCTATGTGACCCTAATAATTTTATATACTTATACAAAGCTAGAATGATAATCAATACATCTCTTTAATTAGCTTTTAGGACTTTTCATGTTTCCATCCTGAGAGACTCTGCTTAACCTCATTCCCATCCTTTCCTTATTACTCCTCAGAAAATAAGAATTTAAACTTATGGTAAGTGTGGAATAAGTGTGGGTAAGTGTTCAACTGAGCCTTTTGTTCTCTCCTCAGTTTGAAAGACAACCCACAAATAAGAATACTAAAAGCTATCATTTCCAACTTTGTCTATAGCTAGATGAATAAAATTTAATTTGGGTGTACACTACAAGAAAGTTCACTTGGCAGCTAAACTTGGCCAAATTCTCTATGTTAATTTTACTACCCCATTTCTTTTCTACCCTTTCCAGTAAAATCCCATAATTATCTATACTCACATAATCAAACTTCACTCTTCCCATTCTCTCTTGAAACCTCTCCAATTAGGCACTCATCCCACCTACTTTACTCAAGTTGTTCTTATCAAGGTTCTCAAAGACACTGATGACCATGTTGACAAATTCAATGGGATTCTCAGTTTTCGACTTGCTTGACCCCTATCATTGTAATCACCCAAACCAAAACTCATTGGAGTCATCCTTAACTTTGGTCCAAGTCGTATCATTTCTTGTCTGAACTACTGTAGTATGTCTTGGCTAATTTCTCTTCTACTGCTATATCCCTATGGCCTACTCAAATACAGCAGCCAGAGTAATCCTATGAAATTGTACATCAAATCATGTCACTCCTCCAATGAGTTCTCATCTTATTAAAAAATAAATAAATGAAAGTAAAATATTTCTTAAAATTACCTATAAGATTCTACATGTTTTGACCCTCTTTGATCTCTACGCCTATGTCGCTTTTAACTCCTCACATACACCACTCCACTGACTTCCTGTTATTCCTGAGACTTGCTCCTGCCTCACAACCTTTTAATGTACTACAAATGATCTTCTTTCTGATATCCACATGACTCACACCCTCCCTTCAATCAGGTCTTTCATCTTCTCAGAGAAGACTTCTCTAGCAGCCCTACCTAACACTACAATCCCACTTACAGCCACAAACATACTTCCTACCCCCTTTCCCTCTTTTTTCATTTCTCTAGCACTTACTACCATTTAATATACTATACATTTTGCTTATTTACCTTGGTTATTGTTTGCCTCCCTCACTAAGCTCCAAGAGAGCAGACATTTTTGTCTGTTTTGCTTGCTGCCATAGTCATAAAATCAGTTCCTTTGCTGAGAGACATAAATACTTGTTGACTGACTGAATAAAAGAACAGATAAGTGAATCCAATATTTCCATCTCTACTTGTCTGACTCATATGCCATACTCCAAATTCAAAAAGGAAAAATTACTTACCGGCTGCCTCCAATTCCACAATTATTCTCTTTTGCATATCATTAGAGTACCCTTTTCTGAGGGCAGGCACTGTACCTCTTTATTCTCAGTGCTGAGCACAGTATCTGACACAGAGTGCTCAATAATATATAATCAATTAATGAAAGAATGAAGGAATAAACGAGTTCCAAAGTCAAATTCACCGCAAACATTTGGGTTTCCTTCCCTCACCATAACAAAACTAAAAATAAACTTCTTTAAACCTTCCAAGATATCTGGTAGAATCTGCATAAATTAATCCAATCAATTATATTTTATTCCTACAATTACAATGTTCAGATGATAGTTAAGAAGTGAAAGACATGACCAATGAATACTAAATTCTATTACAGAAAATACAAAATGTTCTTTTTTTTACTAAGGTAACAAAACCAGGAAATTTTTTCTGAATTTTAAAAATAAGGTATTTCAGCAAATAATACAGAATAATTATCAATAATTTAAATAAAATGTATTTAACTAGAAACATTTAGCTGATAAATTTAATACCTTTAAATATTTTATATAAATATATAAATAATAAAAACTTGTTTATAACAAATAACTTTCAGCTATTTTAACTTTCACCACAGGAATCAAAAGAAAAATGAGTTTTTGGTTGTCTAAAGTTGAAAATGATCACAAAGTACTAAGTATTTTGCATTAGCTAGCAATGTCATAGCAAAAGCATAATGACGAAGGCCACTCATTTAAAGGTTAATTATCACAATGATGCTTACCTGGGCTTCTCGGAGTTTAGCTGTAGTGCTTTGCTGAAGAGCTTGTTGTTCCTGATGCTGCTGCTTTGTTTTATCCAACTGATGCTGTAATTCTGTGGAATTTGTTACTTTTTCCTTCAACTTAAAAAAAATGTAGACTGTCAGTTGACAACTTAAGACATAATGCTATCATTCATAAACATCTGGTATTACTTCAATTCTCAAAATCTGAACAGAAAAATTAATTCAGAAAGTACAGGAAATCAACTTTAAAAGCAATACCACATTACTTACAGATTCTTAATTTCATGATGAAGAACCTATTCTCTAGCAATAGACTTTTATCCTAAAAAGAATATAAATCTTTCTCCAGACTGGCATTTCATTCATCAGTGCTTTAAAATACAAATATGATCAAGGAATGCATGTATTTATATAAATAATAACCATAGTAATCAGTGCTTCTTCTATTTTTCTGTAAGTCATAGCAATGACATTAAAACAGAACTGAATCACCAGCCACATTTAAATATGAAGAGAAGTCTGTTGCTAAAGCTCTAGAGTCTAAGTCTGGGTATCTGTTCAAGCTAAGGAAAAGACATAATTTAATGACAACTTTTACTTTAACCATAAAAGAGTAGCATTTTTGAGCAACTAAAACCTTAATTAGGATAAATAATCACATGCTTAGTTTTTAAATATATATAAGCTCAGTGTATGTGCACAAACCACATGTACTTAATGACTCTCAACAACTATTCACTATTCACTGTTTCATTGTGCATTTTTGTTGAACCCTTTAAGTAATACAATCACAATAAAATGTAGTAACTTAAAAATGCAGTTAATAGCCAGGCATGGTAGTATACTCCTACAATCCCAGAACTTGGGAGGCTGAGGCAGGCAGATCACAAGCTCAAGGTCACACTGAGCTATATAGCAACTCTCTGTCTCAAAACAAACAGAATATGTTAGCTAAGTAGGATGTTTTTATTGGGAAGGAGAAAAGCTCACTTCAAAGTGAAAAAAAGTCCAGTGAAAGTTCTTGACAATTAAGAAGACTGATGAATAAACCCATATTTAAGCCTATTGATAGGCTACAAGACTACCAAAACTTTGTTAGTATCAACTCTTTTAAAATGTTAGCTTACCTGTTCTTCTAAACGAGAAAGTTTGAGTTGTAAATCAGCTACTTGTTGTTCTTTATCCATCAACTTTTCACTTGAAAGCTGTCTCTGCTCTTTCAGCCTACCATGGGCTTCCCCTAGCTGGCGCTCAGTCTCCAAAAGCTTGCTATGTAACTTTAACAAAGAAATAAAAGTATGTACATGTTTGTATATGTATGTAAACTAAATACCACCTACTTTCCAAGCTGTATTTTATTTTTCACCAATATAAGTAAACTATCTTAATTTTCATGATGCTTTGGATAAACCTATGATCTATATATCAATTTAAATTACAACTGAATTTTAATCACATCAATTATAACGAATCACATACAGTTATGACTAAGCATTAAATATTTTGTTTCTGTTGCATTGCTTTCTTTAAAAAAAAAAATACAGGGGACCAGGCACTCTTGTTTGGATATAAGAATTGTTATCACTTGAGGAACTTAAAATAATAAAACAAAACTTAAAATTTAAGATACTCAGGGCACTCAGACCTATTTCACAGTATTTTTAAAGGATCCATGATCACAGTTGGTGATCCATGATCACAGTTGGTTTTCCATAGTTAAGAGCCAGTTGACTTTTTGCATTTGGATATCAGATATAGCCCAAAGCATTCCCAAGTCCTTAAATTGGCACATAATTTCTATATAAAATTGAGAAAACAATTCTACTTCTTTTTAAATGTTAGGCGATCCTCACTCATCAACTTTAAAAATACAACCCAGGGGTTGAGGGTATATCACTCAGTGGTAAAGCACTTGCCTCTCATGTGCAAGGCCCTGGGTTTAATCCCTAGCACTGGGAGCTAAGGGGCAGATGCTACCAAGTTAAAACTAAAGGAGAAATTTGTCCTGGAGCTAAGAACCATTATCTTCTTAATTATTTTTTCTAATAAAGAAATAATTGTTAGTTTTTCCAGGGGGAGTAGAAGAAAGGAGTTTCAATTTCTTCTTTTTTCATTAAAAAAAGAAAGAAAACAGTTTGTATTAATTTCAGAAGAATTAATGTACATATGATGGGAGTACAGAACAAAAGAGTTGCCTGGAGATTAGGATACTTGCATCCTAATTTGGCAAGGCTTAAACACTGAGAACACTTAGCTGCATACCACAGAAAATCAAACGCCTGTGCCTCAGTAAAATTATATTTAATAACAAGCATTTCTATACAATTGCTTATAGTCAAAACCATTCAAGTTAAATCTGAAAATATCTTGAGTCTATGGTATTTGTCATATTTTCTCTATTCTATAAATTGTATACATAAATACATATTTATATACCTATACTCACATATTTCTCCACAAAAACTAATAATTGTCAAGGAAAAAAAATGTTATATAAAAAATTGTGTAGTCATTCTTCCTTAGGCAATGAAACAACCTGTGGCTATCAGTTATTTATATGTAATTTATTACAAAAGTAATATTTGTTACAAAAAGGAAATTTATATTCTTACACATTACCTATGTCTAACTAACCATAAACAGAAAGCACACATTTAGTTCGTTCTTGTGCTCAGCACCTTGACAACTCTCTCCTTTTAATTCTTTTGCTTTCTGTTCTGGTTTGGGAATACAAATTAAGAGTTCACAATAAACTTATAAATCAGCAAAGAGAAAATGCACTGTAACAATTACTCAAACTTTCTATACTCATGAAAAGAGCCAATCTTGATATCTGAAAAAAAAGGAAACCTTCAAAGCAAGTTCATATTTCAAGCACCCACATGCTTGAAGTCATACAAACAGGCATCACACATGCCTAGTGCCTAAATTTGTTGGCTAAGAATCCCTTGAAATTATTGTTAATATACACAGAATTAGACTTTTCCCCCAGAAATTTAGATTTCATACATTTGATCTTGAGCCCAAGAATTCATGTTTTCAAAACAAGAACCAGACAATATTTAGTTTCTGGAATGTTCAGAAATTACTTGCTGAAATGTAACATTTTTAAAAGCAGCATTTTCCAATCTTGGTTGCACAGTAAAATAATGTAAGAAATTTTTCAATATACCAATGATCAGGCTTATGCCAGAGATTATTATTTAATTGGATCAAGAGTGAGACCTAGATAAGAATAATGATTTTGATGTGCAATCAGAGTTGAGAACCACTGAAATAAAGATAACTACTGCTCTGAAATGTGTACTGACTTACTAAAGGCGTGAGACTTGTCTTATAAATAAGTTTTAAGACTCCAGATAAATCCTTTATCTTTCACAAAGAAAAGAATCTCAAATTAAAGCTGCTCATGCATGGAAGCAGGCCAACATCACTTAAACAATTATATCTATATCATTTTAGAACAAAGATGTTAAGGAAAAAGAAGTTAAAATGCAATGTGGAAATAATATGGATTAGAATTATACCCTAAATTATAAACTGAAACATACAGTCTCTAATAAACTCAGTTTTATATACTTAGATAGGTCTGTACTCATTATATTCCTTAAGCTACAGACGCTCTTCTAAATACAAATAACTAATCTAATCCTTATAACAACCCTATGAAGAACGTTCCATTATTATTCTTACTTTACAAATGAGTAAACTGAGGCACAAATTAAGTAACTTGCCTATGATCACACAATTTGTAAGCTACTGAACTGAATTCTAGGCAGTTGGCTCCTAATTCCATGCTTATAAACCATGCTATTTGAGATAGCATGTCAGATAATTTTTAGGAAATAAATTAGTTACATCTGATCTTTCAATTATGTAACAAATTGTTATCCACATCTCTGTGGCTATTTTAGATGTGCTCATGAACACAAATGAGAAACAAATAGACTACTTCATTTTCAAACCCTTTTTTGACAATCACAAGCTATCTAATTTTGTCAGAACGGTAGGGGATGCTGAAGACACAGTGGAGAGCAAAACAAATCCAGTTCATGCTTATACTCTTTAAGGATATTAAAAAAGGGAAGGTCAGTTTTCTTCTATCATTTGAATAAATAGTAATTAAATGCCCTGAGCAGAGAGTTTATAGAGTACAAAGTGAAACAAATTTCTCAAACTGTGGAGTTCATAGTCCAATGGAGATGGTGGACAAAGTGCAAATAAACAAAAAACTAATAAAAATGTAAAATACTTTTGAAATATCTAATTTTATACTATTTGTTTTATAATAATTATGTTTTTAAAAGTACAAAAAAGAGATAAGAATTTTTAAACCTAAAATTGGTCAATAACGTGAATTAATTATAATACCTAAAATCTAGTAAGTACCTACTATATGTCAGGTACTATTCTAAGCAATTTATATGTGTCAATTCATAAATACTCCACAGCAATGCTATATGACAGATAGGGTTTTTTTTTCTTATGGGAAGTTGAAATTAAAGGAAATGAGATTTGCAACACTATAGGACATAAAACCTAAGAGTTAATTAAATGACAATTTTCAACATGAACTATACTATAAACAAATAACCATCAAGCACACTAAGAAGAAATCATAGGGAAAATTGCAACAAATAGAACTATCATCTCTTACTTGATTAATTTCACTCTGGAGTTGCAACCCATGCTGCTCCTTTTCTTCTCTCTGTTGTTGTAGCTGTTTAAACTCTGCTTTAAGATGCTGGTACTTGGTCTCTACTTCAGATAATTCTTCTTTGAGCTTTTGAGTAGCCTCTCCTTTTTCACTTAGTTCTGCCTGTATCCTCTGCAGTGAGGTTTCAGATGCAGATAATCTTGACTGCAGCTGTTGACAATCTAGATCTTTTTGATGAAGGGTTGCTTGAATATTCTTCTTACTCACAGATTCTTCATTATACTTCTCCTCTAACTGGGTATAATCAAGTTCTTTCTTCAGCAACTTTTCTGTCAAGTTCTGAAATATCAATTTCACAATTTACTTTTTCCCAATATATTTAATTATACCAATTTTGCAAACAATCTTTGAAGCCTTACTATCTGCTATGACATGTTAAGTCAATGTTAAAATGAAAATATTCTACTCTAGAATTTTTAAAAGGAGAATGATTAAAAGGAGAATTTTTAAAAGAAAAGTGAATTCAACTATGATATATTGTAAGAATCTGGATAAATATCACAAAGTGTAAGCCTAGTACAACAATAATAAAAAGAATAAAACATTTAAAAATAAGAATTTTTACATACTAACTTTGATTTTATCATTGGTCTGCATGACTCAATTCTACTTATAATAAGAATTGCCAAGAAAATGTTGACATAAAATAAAAACATTAAAATCTACTGGATTTTGGGGGGTATGCAACACAGTTATATATTTACTCTTGAGTTAAAAAATTAAAACCAATCTTTCTTCTAACAGGAATTTTTGAATAAACAATATATATACATAGTATGCCAATTCTGGTTTTGGCTTTGTAATTTCATTGGTAAGAGCTTTAGCAAAACAATTATTCTCTGTTCTAGTGTGTTTCTGTTACTACTGATTGAATTTTTTTCCTTAAAAAGACCATATTTTAGAGACACAAGCTAAAATTACTCCAATTCTGTTTCTAGAAATACAAAAATAATGATCTAAAGATAACACCTTCCTCATATATTATTTTACTCAACACTATCAAGTATAAAAATAACACCCTCAATCAAAGATCTGGATCAACCAGCCTAAATTAAATCTCAAAGTCTGATTCAATGGTATTGTTATAACTAACAATGAACATTTTAAGTCAACATATTTACACATAAACTATGGACCAGAATTTTCAGCCACTTTTGTGAGAAACATAGCCAGGATAAGAAGGCACTCTAAGCACCTGATGAGTCAAATCAGTGGATATTTCCCATATGCAGCATGACAGAAGGGTATAATACAAAAGTTAGATAATCAAAATCTCTGTACACTAAACAGATTATAATGTAAATGTAACACACATAACAAAAATCTTTTCTCAGGCACTTAAAATATACAAGCAAGAACGAGGAAACAAAGTGTGGGGAGGTGGTGTAGTGGTGCAGGACATGCTGAGCATGCACACGGCCCTAAGTTGAATACCAGCACTCAAAAAGAAAAGAAAAAGGAGTGCATGATATGTATTTCTTTTTTAATGAGCAAAATCAGGTGGGGATAACTGTTAAGATCACTTGAAAATAATAAAGTTTGAATTGAGTTTCAAAAGTTGTCAGAGGACTCAAGGAACACATATATATGACTCCTGCTACCTATTCTACAAACATATAGTAAAATGTTAGGAAAATCACAACTCACTTTAGAATTCATAAGCTAAATCAAGTCTATTCATTGATCTGTATCTTCTTTAAAGAATATTCTAAGCTACTGAATTTCATAACACAATGACCCTCTCATATACTTAGGACTTCAATCAAATGTAATTTTAACATATGGTACAAAAATTAAGCCTAGTAAAATTAATAGGCTTCTTTTCCACAAGTTTACTAATAAAAGTGACCAAACAATTTCATCACTTCTGCACACACTTCAGACAACTTTACTCTTCAAGAAACAGAAATACATGGCAACCAGTAACTATACAAAATTCATTTGTCCTAAAAAATTAACCAAAATCCATCTCCTTAATTGCCCAGAAGCACATAACTAAATTTTATTTCAAAAAGACAAACTAGTTTCAATCTTTTTAAAAGAAACTAATCCATTCACAGTACATAATTTTACACCCAAAAGGCACGCCATGCCCTACCCACCATAATGGACTGATACCTCTGAAATGGTGAGCTAAATAAATTTTTCCTCTTTTGAAATCATTTACGTCAGGCATTCTGTCACAGTAATGACAAAGCTAACATACCTTCTATTAGGCTTCATTCATTATTTGTTACTTGCCGAGATAACAAGAATGAATAAAAAAGAATGACATTTTTAATACTTTATATCAAGCTAACTGACATCTTAGAATTTATGAGCTGTATCTGTTCTTATATGGTTCCATGCCTTTTATATATCTACTTTTTAAAATGAAATGCCATTAACCCCACTGATATGTGCAATGTTCCGTAGCATCCTTAAAGACTCAGCGAAAAAGTTTTGAGTTCTACAAAGGTCTTTGCTGATTTAGTAGGTAATAAGTTAGGAAAACTTTGACTTTGGGCTTGACCCAACATTGTTATCACAACACTAAGCAAGACAAATGACAAAACCAACATTCACTGAGGTGCTTACTAAAAATCAAATAAGCACATTAACATCTTACTACTTTACTTAATATTCACATCAATCCTACGAGACAAGTGGCTATAATATACCTCTTAGCAGAAAAGAAAACGGACAGTACATGGCAAACCCAGAATTTAAAGATGCCTGTGACACAATGCTGGTCACATCAATACACTACAGTGGTCTCAGTATTGGTTCCAAGACTCGCCAAAGATAACAAAATCTGTGGATGCACAACTCTCTGAATAATATAGTGCTATTGACACACCTATGCATATTCTCCATGTGTTTTCAATCATCTTTAGATTACTTATTACACCTAGTACAATGTAAATTCTATGGAAATAATTGTTACATAGTTTACAGAATAATGACAAGAAAAAACAACCTGCACCTGTTTAATATAGATTTTTTTTCCTGATCCAGAGTTGGTTAAATCTGTGGGTACAGAATCCACAGTGCAACTATATTTTGCAGTGCAACAGAAATACACAATATAATAACTTCTTACCATATCTGGCTCTCACTTTGCCCTAAGAACATCTTAAAACTGAGACTGTTGGGGAGAGCAATAAGGATGTGAAAGGACGACAGGAGAGACTCAAAAAGTAACTTATCTCTTACAATGACTAATAATATTAGTAACCTTAGCTAAGCAAAATGATTTTGTTTAGAATTTACATGAAAATAGTTAATTAAACTCAACTGCAGAATTTGCTTAATGTCAATAACTTTTATTAGAAACTAACAAAGAGGTTTCTTCCTTTTTGTCATACTGGGATTTGAACGTGGGGCCTCATACTTGCACATGCTAGGCAGGCACTCTACAACTTGAGTCATACCCCCAAGCCTTTCTTTGCTTTAGTTATTTTTCAAATAACGGTCTTGTGTTTTTGTCCAAGGGCTGGCTTTGGACCGTAATCCTCCTACCTACAGCCTTTCACTTAGCAGGGATTACATGGCATGACACCATCCCTGGCTTGTTTGTTGAGATGGGGGTCTCTATTTGCCTGTATTGGCCTCAAACTGTGATCCCCCTGATCGCCACCTCCCTCTCATTTTGTTTTTAAGGTTTCAAGACTAGTAATTATAAACATGATTAAAAGCTGAAAACCTTAATAACACAAAACAATTATCTTTCCATTTATTATATATTACAACATTACCTATATACCTTAAGGATTCCTCAGACCCACAAGAGCTACACAAGATGTTTTTCATAATAGCCTTAAAAAAGACCATGTACAGAGACTTCCAAATTCAAAGCACTTGGATTTTACTACTGTCAATAATTATGGTTTGTCAAAGACATGGGGTGAGGAGGGTGTAGGGGCTAGATACCAAGGAAAATAAGGAAAGGCATATGCTCTGTGTTTGCTCAGACTAGCAATCAATTCCCAGTATAGGGAAAAAAAACTGTGATGGATTATATTCATGTAAGGTGTTATTAAGATTAGTAGATCTTATTAGTCCCCATTCAAAAATTTTCCAATTTTACAACACTAAATCAGGTTAACTCCATATATTATCTAAAAATAGAAATGTCACTTTCTTCAATAATTTGTGTATTCACATGTGCATGTATGTGTGTGTAAATATATACAGTTGGTTGGTCCTCCATATCTGTGGGATCCTCAACCAACCTGTGGATTAAAAATATTTGGAGCCAGGCATGGTGGCACATTCCTGTGGTTCCAGCACTCGGGATACAGAGGCAGGAAGATTGTGACTCCAAGGCTAGCCTAGGCTACTGGGCTAAAAACAAAACAAACTAAAGCAATTTTTAAAACAACATACAGCTGGGCATCAGTGACTCACACATGTAATCCGAGCTACTCAGAAGACAGAGATCAGGAGGATCACTGTTCAAAGCCAGCTCTGGGCAAACAGTTCCAGAGATCCAAACTTGAAAAAAACCTATCACAAAAAAAGGTCTGGCACAGTGGCTTAAGCTGTAAGAGTGCTGCGTAGCAAGTGTGAGGCCCTGAGTTCAAACCCCAGTGCTGCCAAAAAATAAGTAGCAGTATGACAATAAAAGTTAGTGCAGATAAAAAATACATTATAGAATTCCAAGATGGTGGCTAGAGGGAGGAAGCAGAAAGCGAGCCTCCTATAGTGAAATCTTGGAGAGATGCCGGAGACACACTTTGCAGGTATAATCACTGAGAAAAGGCATAACTTTGACCCCTCCACACTTCCTGCTGGCGCAGAGAATCTCCACTTCACGTTAAACGGAGAAACAAGGACGGCCCCGGGGCCGCCAGTCGCCGGCGCCCAGACAGCTTGGGAAGATGCGGACCAGGTGAGCTTCTCCGTACTGCGGTACCCCAACAGACAAGCATGGGCCAGAGCAGCATAGCCCCCTGGACAGACTGACCTCCAACCCTGAGACAAAAAGAAACTGAGTAATAAGCAATAAGAACAAATAAGACATGCAGAAAAGAGGGTGGGAAGCCCTGAGCGCTGAAGATTGGGGGAAGGGAATCCTTCCCGGGACTGTAAATAAACTGTAAATAAACAAGCAGGGCAGGCTGGAGAGCCTCTGGTGGGAGCGGGGGTGCGCACCCAGCAACCAGGAGCGGGAAAGCTGGTGAGAGTGGAGGAGGGAGGAAAACTCCACAGGAGAGAAGGGAAGACCCACTTCCCACGTGAGCTGTAAACAACATGGCGGCTGGCAGGAGCAGCAGCACCAGCCAGTAATCAGTAGCAGGAAA